TTTACAAAATTTCAATTATTTGGATTATATAATTAGAAGCTAGATTTTAAGAATCAAAAAAAAAAAAAAAAACGGGTCAGTAGAAACCTAGTTGTATCGTTACTGTACAAAGGTCAGCAAATTTGGTTGAGTGGGAAAATTGATGAAAGTCTTAAATATACGGTTTTGATTCATTTATAAGCCGTATCTACCAACTACCAATCTACGACAAAACCATTTAATTAATACCTCCAAAATCTCCGTATCATATGTATGTACGTGTGAATGTGATTTTTTTTTTATTCTTTTCTTTTCTACAAATTTACGTATTTAATCAAGTATTTTTCTCGTTTTAGTTATTATTAACAAAAGACGAGTTGATATAAAAAAATTTCGTGTAGACTATACTTCAAATGACAAATCTTCAGTCCAGATTATTTGAATATAGAAGCGATGTGCACATATATTAGAACAATAAAATTTAGTTGATGTAAGAAATAAATGTGTATTCGTTAAAAATAGCTTCATTATGTGGAGAACAAAGGAAGGTCGGACGACCACCAATGACCAACCTTCGCCTTAAATTCCATTTGGCTGAAGGTCTTGCTTGTCTCCTAACCTTGCGTGCCCGACAAGCCAACCTTCAGCAACAAATTATCTTATTGTAAAAATCACCGATCGGACATCTTGTCGAACATTCAACATTTAATTAAATAGAAGGTCTCACTTAGTATCATATATCACTTTCTAGCTCATTCTTAATTATACCAAAATTGAACTTATACTTATTTGTATTTGTATGTCAGAGTATTATTGCCTCTCTTGTTGCAGGTCTTCCCTCGAGTGACGCTCAAGCCTCATCTTCAATCATCTAAATCGAAAATCTACGTAAACGTAAATATTTCAAACTACATACTTGTAAATCAAATATTAATCCAGCTCATAAGTCATATATACACTCAACAAAACCTTGACTAGATAATATTTTAATACTAACTTGTACTATTATATGCAGGAAGCTATCTCAAACTTGTATTTTGATATAATCTATAAACAAATGACTGGTAATATATATATATATCAGTGCCTGTCTAGCAAGGAATTAGTTGTTATTCAAAATAATAATATATAATAATAATAACAGGTTGAAATTTTATTTTTATATATTTTGTGGAATGATCTTATCATCTCAAACCATGCTTCGGGGATTCACACATTGAAGTTTGTTACCTCTATTCAAGTTTTTAAATATCGATACACGCAATATTAATGTGTTAATTTTATTAAAATATCAAATAAAAAAGAGCATTTTTATATAAGTTAAAATTTTTAATTATTAATATTGATTTCATATTTGTGATATTTTGTTAACATATATATTTTTAATTTAATCAACCTTTTACATTATAACAGGGAAGTTGACATCAAGCTGATGGTAGTTATATCAAAGTACATAAATAAGACATTCTTTTTTATCAACAAAATTGAAAGCTCATTATTTTAAAAATATATATTTTTGTATTATTTTTCATTAAAAATAAATTACAAAAGGAAGATAGTGGAATTGATGCAAGGATGACATGGAAGAAAGATTACATTTAAAAAAAAAATTACAATATAGACATAAATATAATATAATATAACAAACCACAAATTAACGAAAACCATTGGAATTTAATCAGCGGAAGAAGCAGTTGGGGAAGCAAACTTGAGAAACTCCTCGTCGGCTTCCAGCTTAGCCATGTGCGGTTCGTTCAAATGGACGACAGCGTCAATGGCGCCGTCGCCGGACTTCGCGTCCATCAAAACGACGAGGTTTTTGAAAGGCAGCGCCGGCGAGGCCGCCCACGCCGGCTTTCCCCACCCGAAATCGGCGTCGTACAGAGGAAATCGGCAGAGGCTGGTTAAGGCGAACGACACGATCTCTCCTTTCATGAACCTCGCTGACGTGGCCTTGATGGTCTCCAATTGCGCGTTCTCTTCTTGGAACTGCCGCAGAAACTCGGCGTCGATTTTGGCGATCTGATGTCTAACCTCGTTGACAAGGCCGGAGCAGTTGTCGTCGGTCAATGTTTCGGGGGAGGGGAGGGTCAGGGCGGTTCTGTAATAATTTCCGAACGCGTCTTGGGGAAGCGGCGGCTCTAGTTTCTGGCGTATGTTCACCGTATGGCACACTAGGAATAATCTGTTCATTATTGAATACAATTAATTATTTCTACTCCAAATTAAATATTTCTATTTATATCAAAGTCAATATTAATTAAAGGACAAATTTGACTGATTGAAATAATTATTATATATTACAGATGTTAAAAAAATTGTATTCACACACGGCTATTTTGATTAATATAAAACAATCACCTTATATATTCTCTAAACTTTCAAAAATCTCTATTTTAATATCAACCAATAGCTCAAACTCCATTGGATAATTATCCTATTTTTAAAAATTTTAGTTTTTTCTCACAATTTATTTGATATGTTTTCATATTTTTAAAAAATATACATTTCAATTTTTTCGTTAAATTTCTTTTTATTTGAAAACGTTTTTTAGATATCAAAATAGATAACAAAACAAAGAAATATAATGCATGGATTATAGTGATGTCTTAATTTTCAAAAATATAAAATAAAACAATAAAATAGTGATTAAACAGGACTTTAGTAGATATAAGTTACCAATTACCAATCTTGAAGTGGAAGAGTCAATCTCTCCTCTCACCTTTGTTATCACAAAGATAAATGTAAAGAAAAAAGAAGAAGAGGTCTTCTTGTATTTTACCACATAATATTCATCCATTCAATACTTATTTTATATATATATATATATATATATATATACATTATAGTCAAATACATACCCACATTAACGTATTAATCGTGTAGTCAATATATCCATTTTTGTTAAAAAGTTTACAATAAAAAGATAGATTATTATTTTAGAAGTTCAAGTGACTAAATTTAGGTAACAAATTAAATCCAATTTTCTTACAATATAATATCCTATCAATTTATCCCATCCTATATCGAAATTGATGTTACGTTAATCAGCCTATAGTTATAATGACCCAAAAAAAAAAAAAATCCTTATTCGAACTCACGCGGGAATAGAATAGAAAGTCCACGCGAATTATTTTAAGCAATTGAAATAAATAAATAAATTGAAAAAGTATATATTTACCGATCAGGTTGAGCTCCGGATTCGTGATTGATGGCGGCGAGGAAGCGGCTGTAAATGAAAGCTGATAAGGCCTCAACTCTGGAAGGACGTCTCTGGCCTTCCATGGCGGCGCTGTCGGCGTATTTCGCTCTAATGGCTTCCACCTTCGAACCTTCTAGAACGAACCTCCTCGCAACTCTATCTCTCACGATGCTGTTCCGCGTATTGTACAGAGACACGTTCCTCGGCGGGAACAGCTTCGCCGCCGCAATATGAGGCCGCCCGAGAGCCTCCGATGCGCCGCGTGCGGCCACCGCCCAGCCGTTCACGACGGAGAAAAACGACAGAGCGTCGGCAATTTTGTGCGACACGCAAATCGCGAGGGCGATTCCGCCCAATTCGAACACGTTAAATTGAACGCCCATGGAAATTTCGTTGAGTTGATCCAACTGGAAGGGGAGGAGGTCGTTGAGATCCGCGGGAGAGGAGTGGCGAACGACGTCGTAGAGGTTGGATTTGACGCGTGCTTCCAGGAAAGGAACGCCATCGTCGTTGCAATCGATGAAAGAATCGGCGTCGTTGTGGTGTCGGCCGGCGAGGGGATAGTAGCTCGACAAGACCTGGGAGAGGGAGTTTTTGAGGCGGTTTTTAATTTCGACGGCGTTGAAATTTGGACCGCCGTCGAGCGCTTCGTAGAAATAGACCATGGGATTGTAGACATCGGCGGTGACTTGGTCGAGGAAGGAGAATTTGTAACGGCGGAGATTTTCCGGCGTCGGAGAAGAAGGTCTGACAAACTCCTTTGAGATTACTTCAACTTCAAGCTTCATTTTTCTCTCTCTATGGAAAAATGAAGTTTGATTTATTTGTAATTTCAGCGACTGATTTGATTCATTTATAGAGAGAGGAAGTTGGTAATCTTCACAAGTCAAATTATATAATGCCACGGATCTCTATACTTTTCCTCCTATGATTAATGGGAATGATTTATTATTATTATTTAGTAAAATGAATGGTGCGGGTATTCAAATTTATGATTTGTAAGGTGATTGCAAACAAAGTCTTATATGAACTAGAGAATGAAGATAAGTGTTAGACAACCCATTAACTTAAACTTTTTGGGTTGGGGTGGTAGTTTGTTCATCCTGGTATCAGAGTGGGAGGTCCTGTGTTCGAATTCTTGCAATATTGATGTAATTTTTCAAGGCTACAAGTGAGGAGAGTATTAAATGAATCTTTTGGATTGAGTGGTGGTTTGTCCATCCCTTAATAATAAGGAAGGTGATGATAATATCAATAGGATACGGTTGTCCAATAATTATATATCTTATACTTGTGACGCTAGGTAACCATACTCAAATTGGCACCACATGTAATTAATTCGATAATGTTAATGAAGTTAAACATATGATTTAGTTCTTTTAATATTAACGATTAAATCATTACGGATTTGCTTGATACCATGGAAATAGCAAATAACTTATTTTAATTTAAAGAAAGAACACTTATTGGTTTGGGGTGTTTGGTTAAAATTATTGGAATAAATTGGTAAGAGAAAACTGATAGCTTCTAAAATTGGTTAAAATTAGTTTTAGGGAAGGTCAAATTTATTAGAGGAAAGGTGAAAGTGACACAAAATCGACAAAAGAGTAAAGGAAGATAATTGTCGGAGAGATTAGAATTCTAATTCTAAGTAATTGACAAAATTTTCATTGAAAAGAGGCGTTGAGAATTGGCAAGAAAGAAAAAATTGAGTCGAGAAGTTCATGTTTTTACATTTCTCTTCCTTAATTTGTCAAATATTCAACGGTRGTGAGGAAAAAGTTGCTCCTAACTATTAAGGAGAGACAAGTATTTCCCTATACTTTTTAAGAGGCCCCTCAAGCATATTGGACCTCTAACATTAGTGTTTAGCTTAAGCTTCTAATAGAACCTTCTAAAATCCATGGAGTTTTTCATATCTTCTATGTTGTGTAAGCACATATTAAATTGAGAAGCAGTATTTGTAGTACAAGATGTGTAAGAATTATATGTTTGATTGGATGTTCATAAAGTGTTAAAAGTTGCTATCTAATGAGTTAAAATATAATTTTTTCAAAAAAAAAATTTGTGATAGTGTATAACATTTGACGAGACTATATGATTACAAGTGGGAAAAAAAAAAGAAAGAAAAAAAAAGCAACTTGAGAAAGTGAATTTCAAATGCATGCATTGATTAACTTGAATGAACTTCGAGGACAAAATTCTCATTTTGGTAACATAACTAGTGTGGCCAGCGTTTTTTCCATAGTATTGTATTGGAGCAAAATTTTATTTTTGAATTTAATTATTAAATCAAGTCAAAAATACCTTCTACTTATGGAATCTGTTTAATGGTAGTTTTAGTTTATGAGATAAGTTTCTAGTGGTGTGCAGAGAGGCATACTTCAAGATAATATGAGATCATATAAAGTGTGTTTGGGGTGAAAACCATATACGTACACGTGGAGGACAGATAAAAGTCTAATTTTGAAGGTTCTTTGGTGACCGACGAACTCTCCTGAGGGCCGACCTGAAGGCCTTGTCTAATGGCTGACCTCGTCATGGCCTTGTCCAATGATCGACCTGAAGTCTGAAGGCTGACATGAAGGTCTTCCCTGAAGATCAGGAACGATCTTCCATACTTGGCCAAATTCCATATGACAAAAGTATGAATTTGAATAGCTGCTCCCGACAGGTCGATCTTGGTCCCCACATGCTCAACCACTGGTCGGATTCCTTGTTGGGTACCCGAACATATAAATAGGGCACTTCACTCTTCAATCAGGTATCGTATTCTAGCTCGGTCTTCATACTAAGGTCGAACACGAAACTGATTTGAGCGTCGGAGTGTTTATTCCCTTGTGCAGGTCTTTCCTCACCAAGTGACCTTTCAGCTCATTCCTGACACTTCAGTTCATTCCAGTCAGCCTACCTTGACCTCTGGAGCTGGTCATTCATTGACACCCAAACTCTTCCAGCGATCATACGTGGAGCAGGTCAAATTCTTCCAGCAGTCATACCTGTTTCAAGTCATACCTCGATTAATTTTTTTGCATAAACAAGGTGTGAAATGAGATGTGTTTTATCCCATTTTTAGAGGAAGTTCCACCAAAAGTTTTATGATTTTATTTAAGTCAACATTTACTAGCAAATTTTGTTTTGCATAAATTTTTTTATTTTATCTAGCATGTAACACCTTGCCTAGGTAGTTATGGGACCAGACACATTTTAGGGATAAAAATAGACTTTTTGAAAGTTTAGAGAACAAAATCATTATTTTAAAAAAAAATCAGGAAAATGTTAGATATCAAAATGTTTTTTTTAAGTTCATAAAAATAAGCTTTTAAAAGTTTGTGAACCATATAGTTATTGTCATATTATCATATATTTAGTGGCTCATATTTAATTATAACCCGCCCTTATCACATTATAGCATAAACACCAGTATGTTATTTTAATCTATAGTTATTTCTACGGAAGTAATTGGGAAAATTATAATCAAGTTACAATAAAAATATTTTTATTTGGATAAATACAAATATTGACCATTTCTAATAACTAACCAAAAAAAATATATTACAATATTAATAGTTTTTTGCAATAATTACTAATTAGGGTTGAACTGATCCGGGTTACTCCGGGTAATACATTTGGTTACATCTCTAATATCTCTTAATTTTCTGTTAAAAAAAATCTCTTAATTAAATGTTAATATAATGCAATAAAGTTTGACTTTACAGATGTTTTATTTTGTCTAAGCTAGACTCTTTCTTCATCTAATTTAGTAGTCGATTTCATTTAATGAATTAATTCTTTGTCAGCCAAATGTCATTATCTTTGAGATAGTTAGGTGAAAGCATAAGATATAAAATAGAGGTTCAAAAGAAAAATCATAAATTGTAGGTATTTGTTTATGGGGCCATGCATTTTAGAGATTTATTAAAGAAAATGAGTTTAAATACTATTTTGATCCATATATTTTCAAAACATATCTATTTTGATACCTGTATTCTCAAAATATATGTTTTGATCTCTCTATTTTTAAAAGTGATCATGTCACTTTCTACAAAATTTTAATACAAGTTTGTCTATACACATCAACCTTCCTTTAATACAAATTTATGTTAGTGTCTATGGTAAAACAAAAAAAAAACGAAAAATTATGACAGTGTTTCAATAAACTTATTGATTGTAGTATCGTGTTGAAATCGTGATCGTATATGGATAAAAATAGACGTTTCAAAATACCATGACTAACATGAATAGAAATTGAAAGTATTGAACAAAAATGAATATTTTGAAAGTACATTGACTAATTCAATTTAATAAAATTGAAGGTTAGCATATCAAAACAATATTTAAATCAAGAAAATACATATATTTAAAAATTATTAAACATAATCGGTGCAGAGGGGGAAATTTAACTGAAAAAGAATCAGAAAGGAAGGTTTAAAATGGAACATATAATTATTAGAAATAAAAATGCCAAAACGAGCATAGCTCAGCGTAATTGGCATATATCTCCAACCACGAGTTGTGAGTTCGTACTAAAAAAATTAGAAGATATTGTCCTGGGATGTCCTTTATTATTAGTTTTAGCCCATCAATTTTAACTTTAATTTTATCAATTTCATTGAATTAAATCACAAATTTGAAAAAAAAAATACTTCTAAAGAAAACTTTAAAAAATAGAAAATTACTACTGCATCAAAGTTAAAAAAATATGTAAAACTCAACCAAAATAAATTATTCACCAAAAATCATGTTACACAAATGTCTAAATATAACCATAAAATATATTAACCTAGCCACATCAAGTAGATTAAAATGAACACTAAAAATCACAAAAAGCGTAAACTTTAAGCTTAAAAAAAGAAAAGAAAAGAAAGCAAGAAAACAGGAACGTAACTTTTAAGAATGTCTATCATTACAATTCAAACCTACCTCAACTACTGACTAAGATACTAATATCCCATCAAAATATGGTGAGTTCGAATCTTCATCCGAATCTTCATCCCACGTATGTTAACTAGAAGGAGGTATTAATTTATGGATTTAAAGTTTTTTTTTTTTTTTTGAACTCACAGGTTTTAGTCACACAATTTTAAATGAGAAAAAAAAAACCTAATAAGAATGTTTACATGGCTGAGGATGTGGCAATGGCAGTGCCAGGTGTATGGGTGGAGATTGGTGGATAAGATTCCACGAGGGCGGAGCAGGCTCGCCCAGAAATCTTCCAATCCCAATTCAACTGCAATGCTCCAGCTCCCATCCATTTCAAGCTCAACTCTGATATAACCCCATCGCAAAAATGGAGGTCGCCATGTCCCTCAACGCTCTGGTTCGACTCCCCCTCTCGAATTCGAGGCTACAAGACGATGGACTCGTCCGGCACTCGCTCTTATCGGCCAGAACGACGCAGAAGCCTGAGCAGAGGCATCGGCACGGGCACACTTTCGTGGTGGAAGCCAAAGGCAAAAAAGGGATGCAAGCTCGTCAGTTTCAAAGGGCTGCGCCTCCACCGCTCCCCAAGATTGAAGACGACGGCAATCCCAAATTCGTTATCTTCATCCGTATGGCCAATGTTTGTTCCCTATCCTTTCGAATACATACAGCTTTATTTTTATTTTTTACTTTTCAGTCTAGTTTCTCTCTGTTGATTAATTCTTTGCTCGTGGAATTGTGAGATTTGGGGTGACTTGATGAACTATGTGTAAACTGTGTTTGTGGATCTTAACTCGAGATTCAATGTGAAGTGAATTGGAAAGTAAAATTGCCTTAGGCTCTTGATTTTTCCCAACCTGGAATTGAGAAATTCATCCTTCTTCATTTCATCACAGGTTTCTTTGATAAGCGAAAATCACTTATGTTACTACTATCGTAACTTCTCACTACTCAGAAACTTCCAACTACTCATAATAACTACTCACTATTACTTAAAATTAGGAATTATAAAGAGCATGTCATTAGCCACTTATTGAATAGCTAACATATTGTAGTTTCTAAATTCTTTCTTTATCGATATTTGTTGTGTGATATGCCATCGAAAGAAGTTTATTATTAACTTGAAATCCCAAAACTGTTTTCTGAATAACAGGATTTCCGTTGGTTACCCTAAAGTTCAATATATTGCAAAAAATTATTGGGAATACCGTATCTTTTTCATCATCCCCTTTTACGTTTATTTATGCAGGTTTATCTATGGTACCCGCTGAGTCTTATAAATGGTGGCACGACCGCCAAAATCATGGTTGCAGCAAAAGATAATTTTCTTGGCAAATATATCTATAAAGACACTCTGGCTAGGAACCTGGCTGCTGTTATTTACCGTGTAAGGTTCAATTATCATCCTTTTTTTTTTTAAATTCATCTGTAAAGAAGTTACTGTCTAACAGAGAAGACGATTATTGAAGATATTTTTCTCTATTATCTTATTCTTGATGCATTGTGATAAGCCGCCCATTATTGGTAAGTATAAGAGAAAGGGAAAACAAGTATAAGGGAGTTAACACGCTGCTGTGATGAGGGAATTTACCTTAAGAGAGTGTTTTTGTTCTTTTGGAGTTACTTATGAATTCTGTTAGTTGGTTGCCACAAATTCTATCCATTGAGAAAAATAGTTAATTCTACACTTTCTGTCAATTTGCTTTTGCAAAGATTACTAGATTCTCTAACCTAGAACAATTTAATTCTAAGCTCTCTTTAAGCTACTAACGGTTGATCTACCAATCAATAGGATGAAAAGGAGATACAGAAGACGGCATTTAAACAGTTTCGTGTGTTGCGGACAGCTACAGAATTCAGATATGGCTACAAGCTTGTGGTAATGTTTTCACACCTTTATCTATGATTCATAGGGGCAATATTTAGATTATACTGCCTGACTGATGAACAACAATGGTATTGACGTAATGATAAATATATACTTACATGCAGGAAAATGGCAATTTGAGATCGGCACTTTCAACCACGGATGTAATTGAGGTAAGAATTGGATTTTCTAGCTCTGCATTTGTTCTCTTTTACTAGTACAGGATTGAGAATGTAAGTCCTTGAACACCATGTGGTAATCTTTGAAACGAACGTAGTTCTGTAGTAACTTGTGTCAGTTAGTCAGATTTGCAACTAGATCGTCTAGTTTCCTAACATTGTTTCTGAATCCAATCTTAGCTTCCAACTCAAGACCAGCTGAAGACAGTTCTCGATAAAGTTAAGGACTTCTTTGGAGATGCAAAGGACTCATTCGGCAAACTCACTGCACTAGGTTCGCTCGAAGGTGAGGAGTCAGATGAGAACTCTACAGAAAAGGCCAAGTGAGTATTATTTCCTAACTACTTCTCTTCCCATTTCCTTGCCCCTCCAAAAGGCCAAGAACCTTATGGTTGTTGGCATTGACATTTTTTAACCTTCAGAAATGAGTTTCAGAGTGGTATAATGATTACTTAATCCACATTTTCAGGGTTAAAACTTGAGAGTGGAGTGGTGGTTTACAAGATTGTGCAGCAGCCAAATGAACTTCTTAAACCGGAGAGCTTCAAAGGTACATAGAACGGTGGACTAGCAAGGTTTTTTTTGTATCCAAAACTGTTACTTAGCAGAAAAATTAGGGAGCTTTATACGACAGTATGTTGGAAGAACATACAGCAAGGTGATGTACACAAGTTTCAGTGATGGTTTCTTTTTTAAAAGAATCTTGTTTTTCTGATCTGTTTTGTAACATTTGAATGGAAATGCAGTTTTCATTCCTCAAATATTGCAATAGCCTTGAATTTGTAATGGGGGAGCCCTGATAAACCCCAACCTGCTGCTAACATTTATAATCACTGGTTTGGTGCTTTGGCTTTAGGGTGCTTCTGCATTAGTATTTTGATGTAAACCAGTTTTTCTACTAACACTTTTTAGAGGGAAAAGGGTACACTGATGAACTCTAAAGAACTGAAAATCACTTTTTGACATGTTTGTAATTGTCATGAAAGTTCTGGAAAGTATTTTTAGGTTTTTTCTTTCTTTATTTTTTTTTCCATGAGAAAGTAAGTATTTTTAATTACTTGACCCTCTTTCTGTGACAAATGAGATTATATTTTTTTTATTTATTAAAATATTATTATATTAGAGGAAAAAAAGATTATAAAAAAAAAAACTTAATGGAAATTCAATTGGGACAAAACATGCATATATTTGCCCATATATTATGATAAAGAAAGCAACATGATCGCCAACATGGTAGTTTAGCGCCAACATCATCTTAGTTTTAGTTCCAACATGATCTTAGTTTAGCGTGAATTGACATCCGTCTTGAATTAAGAGGTTATGAATTCGAATTTTTCTGACCTCACTGATTATACTAAAAAATAAAAGAAACAAGAGAAAGAAAATCTACTGTGATTTCTTTTTGATACAGTTGAACATATTTGAAATTTGGATAATAAAAAACAAAAGTTTCATCCTTAATTGATAAATATTTCCATGTTAACTATTACGCACATTATTAAATTCCACGTAATCACTTCGTTCTGCCCACTTTCAAGCCTTTTAACAGAAATTTTGTTCAAGGGCATTTTTAATTTGGAAACAAAGTTAAAAGTTTTGGAATATATTGTATATTTTAATTTTGAAATTATATATATTTTTCTTTAGTACAACAAATATGAAGATGAATAATTGAATCTCCAAGTTCTACAACTGTTAGTTATATTCGTATTGGTTGAAAAATAAAAAATCATTGGGAAAGAATTGATTGGTCATAATTATTCTACTTATGGTGTGAGATAGATATTTTCATAGCATCAAAGATTTTCAGAACTAAAAAAAAAAAAAGATTTTCTCGTATCCTCTCTTAATTTCTTTTAATTTAAATAAATACGCCAAAAGCTATTTATTTTAATTTATTTAAAAGTTTAGCTGTGGAGCGGACAGCTCCAAAAGGCTGCAGAGAAGTAGCCGTTGTAATAGTTTCCATTATTGGTGACGTGGAGGGAGAGAATCTCTGTCCTTATAGACCAACATCTTCATAAATTTACAAATTCTCATTTATCAGAAATTGATATTAAATTTTAGAACTAACTTCTATATATACACAATTTTTTCCTTTTTTCTCCCAAAACAATAACAAAATGTATATACACACATAACCTAAAAATAATAATTTTAAATTTATTCGAATTAGTTGGTGATTCAATGTATTCTAAATTCACAAAAATGGGAAAAAAAATGTTAAATAATCCAACGTATTGATAGCAAAATCAAAATGGATTATTTATTTCATATCTCAAGAAACCAATTAGGATTTTATTGAGACTTTTATTTTAATATTGTAGCAATCCCCTTGCTACCGTTATGCATTACCAAAACAGTCCACAATTAAAAAAAGTAGCCTTTCTTTCAAGTTTGAAAAGAGCTAAAAAACTAGACGTTGCGAAAGATTTTGATTTCACCATCATTTTGGGCCCAATTTCTCTCCTCAAGCTCTCAGACCCACTAAATTAGAGAGCGTCGGACACACAAATTTTGCAGATTCATTCCGAGAAAATCTTGGAGCCACAGAGAGAGAGAGAGAACATCCCACTTCTTGCTGCTCAAAAATATCCTCATCGCTCCAAAGCTTCGTTTTCTTTTAGTACCCGGAGAGCCTGTGATTCAGAGAGTTCAGGGTGGGTTTTTTTTTCTTTTTTTTTTCCTTTTTTGGGAAAATTTTTCTTCTTGTGAAGTGCGGCGACATGGGTGAATCAGCTTGCCTTCTCAGATCCTTCTCTCATCCTTCTGATGCTTCACGGGAACCCAAAGAGGTGTGTTACCTGAAATGGTCTTGTTTTTCTTTACTGGGTTTCTTTAATTGTTACTGTTTTGAATTAATTTCTTGTGTAGTTGCTCGACTGTTCTTTTGTTATCTGGAAATTGATGGAAAATGGATCGTTTTAAATCTTGATATGATGTGGTTTGATGGTTTCTTGTGACTTTATCTGATAATTCTTTCGAGTTTCTCTGACAATCCCTTCATTTTTGAACAGGGAGATCCTATTCGAGCTCTTGGAGAATCCATTTCATTTGGAAGGTTTATGTCAGAGTCTCTGGCTTGGGAGAAATGGTCAGCGTTCTCTCATAACCGCTACATGGAAGAAGTTGAAAAGTTCTCCAAACCGGGCTCTGTTGCTCAGAAGAAAGCATATTTCGAAGCTCACTACAAGAGAAAAGCTGCACAAAAGGCAGCAGCTGAGCTTGAGGGAGTGAATACCGCAGCCGCGATGACTCAAGTTGAAACTGAGGACAAAAGTTGCACCAGCCCTTGCGTGGACTCAGAGCCGATGAGACCAAACAACCAAGTGACTGAAACTGATGAAAAACAGGATTTTGTTCAGAATGCTGAGTTTGTGTCTACTACTGATGCTGATGCTCATGATTCTATGAATGAGGAGAGTATGGTGGAAACTGGTAAGGTGGAAGAAGAAGAAGAAGTTATTGACCAGAACGAGACTTCTCCTAATGTTGAAAGTGCCAACCAGTGTGAGAATGTCGAAGACCACGGCAAAATTGCGGTTGCTGAAGATAAGGAAACACCGGCTAAAGTAAGTGTGATGATATTTTCCTCTGTCTTGATTGGAATATGGAAACATCAGTCATTTTTCTCCTTAACCTCAATTTGTTATCTTATGAATACTGCAGGCAGCTGCTGTGAAGGAGATTGTCTCTTCAGGGGGTAGCTTGAAAAGATTGAGGAATTACTCCTCCAAGTTACTAACTCGAAGTTGGTCATCAAAGCCACAATCGATTCCGGCCAAAAAAGCGACCTCCAGTCAGCAACCCACACACAAGAGTGATGCTACTCCGAAGAGTAAGAAATATGCAGGGAACATTGCCGAGAGGGTGACGATCAAATCCGTACACATGTCTATGAATTTTAATTCCCGCCTGAAAGAGACAGGCAAAACAAGTCCAGACCTTCCACAGATTGGAAGAAAGAGGACACATACAAGCTCACTTGCAGTCTCCAAAGAGATTCCGACACCGCCTCAGAAGATTGCTAATAGGGTAGGCACTTCTAAGCTGTAATTTCCTCATTCATATCATCTCAGTATATTTTTGCACAATGGCTCACTTTTTGGATGGTTTCTATTTTACAATATAACATTTATTTGAATGTTTTTAAGAAGGTTCATTTATCCCAATTGCAGGCATCTGTTAATGGATTGTTAAAGCAACCTTTGATAAAACCCCCATTAGAAGGTAGAAGGTATGTTTAGCTTCTGAAATATACTTGTATATTTTGAATTTTTGAGGAGCTCATATGAACTGAAGATTGAAATCCTTTTTCAGCAAAATGTGAATTTGTTGTAATGAAACCAATCTCATTTCACAAAACACATAAGGGTAGAATAGAAGTTTTGCTGTCTAAACTTTTATGTATGTGCTCTTGTTCATATGACATTGGCCTACATTGTGGAGTACTATCTCAATTAAATCACACAAGATTTTTCTAGCTTCTTATTGAAATGTATTGTGTACCAGATGCTTAAAGTCTTCGAATTCAAGTGGAACTGGAAGCAAAGAACGGCCTCCTTTCATATGCTCGCCTTTCAGCTTCATGAGTGAAGGAAGAGTGGCAAAACGGAAAGAGGCAATATTATGCTCTACTTTTCTTCATTTTCTTATCGCATCGGTTTAAATTTTTCCAACTTCAATGCCTTTGTTATCTGTTATTTCAGTTCTTTCAAAAGCTTGAAGAGAAAGCCAAGTCCAAAGAGACGGAGCAAAAGCAACCACAGGCAAGATGTCAGGTTGATCTATGATATCATTTTACCCAGACTTGTTGGCATGTGAGGAAATTTGATACTCTGCACTTAAGAAAAAGCGGGCCTTTATATTATCCCTAAATTAATAATTGATCAGAATGAGTGAGTTCGAAATTGCAGAATTTATCCTTAGTTATTTTCAAGTGCCATTTATTCCTTCCACTACTCCATGTCGCTGTAACCAATGGTCTAACTTGTATGGTAAAACCACTGAAATCATCTTCTACCATACAGGAAAGAAAGAAGAATGACATTACCAAATTACGTCCGAGCAGAAATTTTGAAGCCAAGGAAAATCAAGATTCTAACCAGGGATCAAAATCACCTACCAATTTCATCAAAAAGGTATTTTATCTGTCTTGTAAGTGTATCAGATCCGTGCCAGTGTGCAATACTAGGTGGCTGGTGATCTAGAGTTCTGTATACGTTACCATTCTCTTATCTATTCATTAGAATATATTAATCTTGTGTTACAGATCCCTATCACGAGACCTGGATCGCCCAAATTAGGGAGGAAGTCGGCAGGCAGCGGGGTCCAGAATATCAGCTCTCTGCCTCCAAGAAGGCCATCAGTCACTTCCAATAATTTCAAGAGCATCGTCAGAAAGAGGTACGAAGGCCCCGCTCAATCAGTCACTTCTCTTGGGAAGAAAATGAATGCCTGTGAAAATTTTTCTCCAAATATCCAGAGTTGACCAATCTCTCTCAGCAGCTGGATGCACTTGAATAGTTACACATCATGAAACTAAAGAAAGTTTTTAGAAAGCAAATTGTCTATATTCTGTCATGGGGGTGTGGTGCTGTTCAAATGACCAAAAAGTTGACTTTTGTTGTAGGCCACTTTCTGATTGTTAGTGGAATACTTCTAATAGTATGCATAAATTTTGGTGTAAGATGACAAATACTGCCTGGATTTGTACAAGTTTACATTTATATATTCTGTATATGTAAAAATGTTGTCATGCCCAAAACTTACAGATTGACCACCAAGCCAAATTTGCCTCTCAATTTTATATTTCATGGTTGATAATGGATCATTCATTGAGGTTAAACCGTTAGAACTACAAACATCAATTTAAACATCTAATTTTGGGTCATTCTCTGACTGATCGTGGCTGCGGCATCAGTAGAACTTTAGTTAGTCTAATATGTATTTTGGTTAAAAAGATGTGAAGTTGACTTATTAGTTATTATACTGGAAAAAGTTTTCATTACTTCTATATACACATTTCAAAATCCAAATCCCAATAGGTTGGGAAGGTAATATCCAATCCATTAAGTTGAGAACTCACTTATTAGCAAGACATAATTCTTCCTTGCATACAGGGAGTGTGTAAATAGCATAATCATGCGATGAATAGGCCTTCATCTATCACTGGATATTCAGTTGGGTCATAGGAATACTCATACCCGTACCTTAATGCATCGTAAAGGTGAGGCGGAACATCAGTGAAGATACCAGGATCGCCGTAATCTGGAAACTCTATAATCTGATCTTCAAGATTCTTTGGATAACAAACATCTTGAAGCAAATAAATTTGCAAGTCTTCATCAAAGGTTGTTTTAGGTAACCCACTTCCCAAATCAGAATTGCAGCTAAGATTGAAATTCTGGTCTGTCATTCCCAATGGAGTGGTAGTAGTTGAAATGGGCTTAAATTGGTCATTCATCCCATTAAAACTCTTAGACTTGCCTGAAAATGAATCAGTTGAAGTTTTTGGTAGATTTATATGGATAATCTGCTGGCTACAGTCCTCAGAATATGGAGGCTTACTTTCAATGGAGCTTGCTATATCTTTCTCTGTTGCTGACCGCCCAGAACTAATGGATGAAATCGACTGTAGTTGGTCGATTTGAACTTGATGTGGCGAAACCTTGGGAGGAAACTGGCTGAAATCTCTTTCTAAATGCACGAGTGGCTTACTTTCTTGTTTGAACTGTATTTCTGGAGCTTCGACCCAAGGGTAACATGTTCGGTTGTTTGGATCAAATGCTGCAAATTTTCCCTCAGATTCAAAAGAGTTATTAAATTTCATCTGCGTACTTCGCGTCTTGATTGGTTCAGGAACACTCCTAGCAGCAGGTCTTTTTGGCTCTGATGTGTGCTCTTGAACAATCCTTTTCCTATCAACTTCACAGCCTATGGAGTCTACATTTTGAAGAAGAAAGTTATCACCTGAAAAACTGAAGCTGCTATTTGTAACATCATTTTGTTGCACGACTAACGAGCTACGAAGGCCAAAGTTGCCATCTCCATCCTTCGAACTTGAATCAGTATGTTTCATCCCAACAACAAAACAAGCTTTAGGATCATTTTCTTTCTGCAGCCGACTCAAATAGAGGCGATATTTCTGTTGTACACCAAAAAGTTCTCAATCAAAATCCTAAAAGAACAGAAGCTTCCTGTTTAGCTATCAGTAGCAAGAATGAAGGTAGATGTGGCTAACCTGCAAGTGGCTAGCTACATTCTCCCTAGTCAGCCATGGGACATTCATCAGATCAAGAATCTTTTTAGGGCCTACTTCTGCAAAATTAGACATTAAAGTATCATTTCTCTGTAAAATAATAATTAGAAAAGTTTTAGGAGAGAAAGTTGATCTATTCTATACTTACTGTCAAAACCTATCTGGTTTACTGCTTTTACAAATTTTTGATGCAGATCAACTGACCAAACAACTCTTGCTTTCTTTGTAGAAGTATCTCCAAAGTCTTTGTCATCATGTTTATCAACATCTTTTCTTTTCCTCACTGAAAATAGTTCCTCTCCTCTTAGAAACTGGCTATCATCATATCTGTCTGACCCATTTCTTAGGATATGGATGCCTTCAATAATATCATGGCCTTCAATGTCTCTCCCCTCTTGTATCTTCTTTCGGAGTACGTGCTGCCATATATTCCTAAGTTCTTTCATTCGTATCGGCTTTAGAAGATAATCACAAGCCCCATGCTGAACCCCTTTCATTACTCTGCTTGTTTCTCCGTCGACTGACATCACTGCACAGAGGGAGATGAACTTAGACACAAGTTAGATCTCAGAAGTGAGGATTCTTCTAAAAAGAGAACATCCTATGCATTCAAAACAATGTTGAAGAAGGTAGAGAGGCAGAGCACTGACTGATAACTGGCAGGTCCATTTCGAGTCCAACATGCTCGAGAAGTTTAAAACCATCCATATCGGGCATGTTTACATCGCTGATTACAATATCATATCCATCTTTTCTCTCCCTAAGCAAGTTCAGAGCCTCCCTTGCCAAACAACATGTTGTCACTGCAACGCAAGATGGAAAATGTTTCAGCCTGATATTGAAAAAAAAAACATCTGATTCAACTAAATTAAGCTGAATTCTGAAATGGGATGAAGTGAACTGGTCTTATACAGTGAAAAACACACATTTTCAGTTTTATTTCCAAGCTCTAGTTGGAATAGAATTCATAAAGTAACTAACTTCAAGATATTTATAACTGAATTCCTCCTTCAGAACCCAAAGTGCTTCAGCTATGCCTTAAAACTAAAGTGAATGAAGGAGAGAAAAGATGTGCTGACAAAGAACGAAATCTTGGTTTTACTTGAGAAGCCCTGTCCTATATATAATTTATATCAGATTTCAAGGTTCATCATTGAGTTTTACCATAAAAGATATGTAGCAGATGGACTTTTGATTAGTCTGCCAAATCAAATTTAAATATGAATGAAAAACTTTTATTTTCTTCTGATGGGTTGTATCATTTTCAGTCCGTATTGAGAAAAAGCAAAGCAATTCACAGTCTCACAAGTTGAAGTAGGACTAAAGGCCTAAATCAAGCAACAAATTAACAAAGGAAGAGACTTATTTTTGTAAATGAACCTTCATAAGAGCACTTCTTGAGCATCTTTTCCAGGATTTTCAGCCACGTTGGGTCATCATCAACGACAAGAACACGAAGCCCAACAGGAAACGCATCGCATCTAGGAGAAGAGAAACCATTTTCCATTTGGATGGAACTCTGGTGGAGGTCAGGGAGGAGAAAATGAACAGTGGGGTTAGTTTTTGGGGAAAGAGCCTTAAAAACTTCAAAACTCTCAGGGTTTTAAAAATGACCCAAGTTTAGAGAGAGAGAGGAACCAATTAGTACAAACGCCTAACTGTTCCCTTCAAAAGATTCAGAGAATGTTTATATTTACAAATTAAGCAGGAAAAAACAGAGGAAATAAAATAAAGGAAAGTGGAAAGGTAACTCCCTCAGCAGATGAAAGAGGTGAAAGAATATCAGTTGAGGGGAAAAAAAAGGCATCTCTACAAGGAAATGCTTGGTAGAAGCACAATTTTCATATTTTGTTTTTTTGATACAAAAGCATTGAAATGACTATTAATAATTAATCAAAGACAGTGCAGAAAAGGAATAAAAGTATATAAAAATGGAAATATATTAGCAAGCACAGGGAGGGAGCAGTTAATGTACAGTGGGAGCAACAAACCAACAAATGGAGGTGGAGAGGCCTTTTTATCTGCCCAACTTAAATTCCCTTTTGCACATTTGCATTCCAAGTGGGAAATCCAACCTTTTTTTTCCCCTTCAAGTCACCTGCAGGGATTTTTCCATGTTTGAATTGAACCATAAATTTTTGCATTGTTTTGTACTGTCATTGAATAATTTGGAATCCATTATTACTATTGAATATGGAGAAGGAACAATCTCATCATCATCAGCTAGCAAAGGCAAAGGCATATAGCCATAGGCCACCAGCTCCATCTCCTTTCTGTACTTTTTAGTCTTTACTACATATGGCTGCTTAAAGCCTGCCCTTCAGCTAAAGGCAATCACAATGGCTAATGAATAGCATCTAAATCGAGACGATTGTTTATATTCTTATTTTTTTGTTATTTTAGTCACTGTACTTTTAAAAAGGGGCCGTTTTGATGGAGGAAGGAAACAGATGAACAGGATTTTGAACCTTTTTCTCCCAACAGAAATGGGGAAAACAGCACGAAGTTTACTGGGATTGATAGATGAAAAGTTGGTGCAGGCACGTGGAGTCCATTTGAGGAGGCAAAGACAAAAAATTAGGCTTTAAAGAGAAGTGGTCAGGCCAAAAGAAGCAAAATGGGCAGGCTGAGGAGTGAGTGGCCAAGCAGAAGATCACCTGAAGATGACTAACAGTTGCCATTAAGATAAGTCAAACAGTAAGAATCCTACTTATTTTTCCTTTCCCTTTTGACCATTTCTGGTGATGCCCAATTGAAAGATCACATGTTGATTTAGTCAAACTCCTCTAGATTGGTTCTTATCACATAAGTCTTTTAAGAAACTCTTAAAATAATTAAAAGTGGAAGCATTTTAAGACAACCCCATTGCTTGCTTGTCTGTTTGTTTGGATGCCCAATAATTCATCTTTATATTATTAATTATCAACTTTATGTACTTGGGAAAGTAAATTAAAGCTTCCCCCTCTCACTGATCCCATGTATTATATTATATACTCTTTTAACTCTTAATTAACTATCATTATAACACATAATCAAATCAAGATTATCGACGAAATTATCAACAATATCCTTGTCTCGCTGTCGATATTGATATCAATATCGAAAAGATCAAAGATTAAAGAATAAAAGGAGCTCTCGAAACACTAATAAAGAATGTGTGCTGTCTAGAAGCCATTGGTTTGAGATTGTTGAGTGTCATGAGCAAACATATTTATGGAGTGAAAATGAGTTAATAAATTAATCAAGTTGTTTAGTGGAAATTAGAAGTAAGGCTTTTGAATTTGATATGAGATTGGTGTGTGGACATGATTGTGTTGGATGATTAATATGCAAAGTGACAATCATCAAAAGCCATGTGGGAGAAAGTTTTAAAGTACTGATCCCCACTTAAAAAGAAAAACAAAGTAATTTATAAGTGACATTCAAAAATTAATCCATCGCATAAGTACTAATTCAATGCGTGAAAGATGCAAAAGCTTCTTCTTTTTTAAGAAAATAACATCCCATCAAGTTAGCCAAATTTAATTATTTGCCAAAAAATAATCATACTCACATGGTTGGAAGTGAACCAAACCCAAGCTCTATATTTTAAATGAAAAACCCCATAGTTCATAATTTTTTTTTAAAAAAAAGAATTATTTAAAAAGGAAACTGTTGATTAAGTGAGATTTCAATTTCAACTCCCACAAAGAAAGAGTTAAAAGTTTTACTTTTTGGTGATAGTGGAGCATAGAGAGAGAGAGAGAGAGAGAGAGAGAGAGAGAGAGAGAGAGAGAGAGGGTTGAAGTGAGAGAAAACTCTCTTTTAATGGCTCTAAAAAGGAAATGCCCACTAACAAATTCTTTATGTCAAATAAAATAGAAATATACTTACAGAGAAAAAGAGAGGGAGGGGGAAAAAATTAAAAAATTAAAAAAAAAAAAAAAACAGGAAGAAGAAGAAGGAAGAAGAAGAGGGGATTGTGAGGATGAACTTAATGCAACTTCCTCCAAGTGGAGTCACCTTTATATTAGTTTATCTAAAGTTGGAATATGGGTTTTGCCTAATGCTCTTCTATCATATATGCCTTATTAGCTGTTTTTCTTTACCTGTTTAATTATTCCCTTAATTTTCCTTTTTTAAGCCTACAATCTAAGTCTCTTTCTTCACCTTGGCTATGCCTTTTCAAACCCCTATTTTATATCCAACTAATAATTAATTAATGTTTTTTTTCTTTATTTACCTTCTAAAGATTATATATACACATAAATATATATATATATATATATATATATATATATATTATATAGTAACTCAATTGCATGATCAACCCAAAAGTAGGAGGGCTGGATTTGGTCGGGTTACAGACCCTTTAGAGTCATTTGGATCAGTCCATGTATAGCCTCGTTTTAAACTTTTCTTATTCTTTTAAAAACAAAATGAAACCAACTTACGCCAAAAAGTCCTATTCCTGACAAAACACATGGAGAATTAGAAATATCTGTCACGAGAGGACACAAGTAAAAGACATAAAAAGAAAAGAAAAACTCAAAATCAAAGGATAAAAGAGCAATATTGTGTAAAGGCCCAACGGCTCAATTTCCCGTCTAATGGTCCATGTTCTACAAAATTTGGCCCAGAATCAACGAGCTTGAAGAACTCAGCCTATTAGTACGTTGCCTCCGAGCCCACGATAAATGATGGGCCTTACTCATCGAAAACTTATTTAATGACATTCGAACTCGGCCCATATCCATTACTATTTATTATTTTCCTTTTTTTTTTGTAGAGGTTTATTTTATTTTGAATAAATAGTTGCTACATTTACTTGGGCATGGGCTAATTTTGAAAGCATAAATAGTCAACCACTCAGAAAAAGTCAACATACCATATTCAACAAAAGGATTTAGTGGGTCACCTAAACCTTAATTATTTAGTTGAAGAATCCCATGAGAATCACCTCTACTCAGCCTTGAGGAACAATTAACCATTTTTCCAATAAGCCAACATGATTTTTGCAACCAAACGTCGAAATCAAATTGAACTAGGTTCAAATTAACGATAAAGTTCAAACTTTTAATATAAAATAGAAAATTAAATTTTGCTACTTGCTTGCAAATATGGATATTTTATAGGCAAACTAAAGGGTAGTTTTGAGATAATGGACTAGTTTAATAGGGCGAATTTCCCCAAAAATAATATGCATTTTTTAAAAATTATCTCTCTTGAAAGAAAGTGGGCAAACCGCAAGAGGAATTAATTCTGATGTGCCCCTATTTAAAGGGTTAGATTAATTCATTTATTTTAATCAGTACTGGTAGGTTATCAGCATTTAAAACGCACCCAAAAGACAATACACCATTGAAGAGAAACCAACGGATTCAAACAATAAATCTCAAACATTGGATTCTTCTCCAGAACTGAAAATTTGGAATTCTTAAGAATTGAAAACCATTTTCATACAGTTTTCTGTTTTGATATCAAATGATGAAGACGAACCATTTAATTTCATACAACGAGAAGTTTTCTCACCGAACTCTGTTTACATTTAACGGTCGGCTTTCAAGTTTCAAGTCATCTGTACAGAAATTGGTTTATTTTGGTTCAAATCAAGTATTCGTAATAAACTAAGAAAAGTGCATCTGGATATTCTTTTGGCAAGCTGCTTATATAGAGATAGAACCGTGAGAGATCTTCCTTTGAAACTTTTTCAGCATCAACCACATCTTCGCTGCAAGTTAGCACCCACAAGTCCTCTGATTTGATCCTCCTCAAGCTCCCACGGCAAAACGGGCACGATTCCGATCTCGTGTTCCTATGATGAATTCAAAAGCATAGGCATTGGAGTAATCATGGAAAATGCATAAGAGCCAGAAGGGGCAAGAGATTATTTAGGAAGGTTTTGTGGTTAGTTACCAATTGTGGTAACATTTGATGCACATTGAATGGCAGCAATTTGGCAACACCATTTTTGTGGAAGGTTCTAAGCAAATCCCACACTCATCTTCTCTCTCTAAATCACCATTGGAGAGTTTTCCATCTCCTTGAGCTCGTTTGTCGTTGGAATTATCGGCCTTGACACGCCTGTCTATAGCACTATCCAGCTCGTCAACGTTCGCTTGGAGCCGTTGAAGGGATGGCAATATAACGGCTGAAGAAGAAGTTTGTTAGAAACAAAACAAGATCATAAACTCAGAATCATACAATATCAATACCATAATCTACAGAGCCTAATGATTTCAAACAAGTAGCATAAGGAAAAAGGTTCTTCTCTCTTGTTGACAGTTGCTTTTTTAGAACAGCCCATATTCTTCCTCCTAAAATCATGGATGTATGTGAAGTGTTTCAACTGCACTAAAACCCTAACTGCCCAACTTTAGTCCTTGAAAGCAGTTTTCTAAATGGCATCAGAGAACTATTTTGAAAACCAGTCTCCCAAACAGATTCTTAGAAGGCAAATATGTACCATAGAAATCTTTAATCGTTGCCTTTCTTCCATGTGCTGATATGTTTGGTCTTCCATCAGTGTAAACCTGAAGAAAGCAAATGACAGATTATAATGATTCACGAGACAGAACAAAGCCACTGCTGTAAAAAGATCATCAAATATCATTAAACAAGTCAAGAAAAAGAGAGACCAGCCTTGTAAATGAGTATGTGGAAGAAATTTAGGTATCTGGGAAGTATACAAGTGCAGGAACAATCCACCCATTGCATCAAAAACAGAAAGAGAGGAGCCAAATGATTGTAAACCAATTTCATCTGGAGATATGAACCATGTTTGGCTCTTGGAATTGCAGCAGCCCTGCAAACCCAGAAACCAGATTTTGGATAATTAGAAAAACCAAACAGATCACATAAACTACCCACCACAGCTCAATCAAAATCAATCCTATTCACAGACCCAAATCAGATTAAAATTGGGGGGGTTGGGGTTGAAGAACTTCAATAGTGAATGAAGGTAAAAGGGATACTAACAGAGCATTGGCGCGCTGTACATCTTCTTCGAGGACTTTCATGGAGTCTTTACAAGAAGACGAAGACCTCGTTAGCCGGTAATACATAATCGGAGAAATCGTGTCTCTTTCCTTCAATCGGAAACCTAGAAATGATACCCAGAGAAGTTACTTTCTTCGAGAAGGTGCTCGCAGAAAGCAACCCAGAAGAGAAATTTCCCAATTTCAGCAAAACGACCACAGAAAGCAAGCTATGGAGAATTGGTTCGGCAGCTTTGGTTGGAAGAAGAAGCGCTTTTCCAGAATCGGGTTTTGTGATCGGAGAAAAAGCACGCGTATAAAAAGCGCTTTACTCCTCCGGCGATTACCGATAAGGAAGGGGTAAACAGCGTCCGAGTCTGAGAGTGGAATGAATGCTTTCTCCTTTTTCCTAATTTATCTGAAATTTTTTCAAAATTGTTCGCTACTCGTACTTGTACAGTTGTACTCGAGCAGTTGGGTTCCATTTTTCCAAAATTACTCCAAAAGGTAATCAAAATTCAAAAGTCATCATTTTCTGTAATTATGTTTTCTTCTTAAATTTTTCTTTTTATCGTCACTTGGTATGTATCTTTTGGTAACTATTGAATTCAAACTATAGCCATTAGAAAAATATGTTTTGAAGATCATGAACTCTCGAGTCGATCAAGGTTTTAAAATATTTAGCCATTAAATAATTTTTTTTTGAAAAACTACTTAAAAACTCTCAATTTTGGGGTTGATAGACTACATTTAATTGGGTTTTAGGGACCATATCAACCGGTAAATCAACAAAGATCTAAAGAATGACCTAACCGTTTTTTAGCCTACGTGCTCGCTCTGTTTATGCTCCTGTAGGGACGGACTTTTGAATTGACTTGACATCTGCTTCTTTTCCCTCCATTGCACAGCTACGGTAGTAGGTACTACAAGCCTTCTATCTCACAGATCTAACATGTTCGCATGGTTCATCAATTTCACCAAAAGTTCTATTTGAGTTTTAAAGTTTTAGCTTAAATTTTAAAAACTCTCTCAAAAGTCAGAAGCAAATTAAAGAAATACAAAATCATTATCAAATAGAGTCTTGATAAATAGTTCAAAATACAAGAATAATAATTTGATGCTATAAATATATCATTGAGATTAACCAACCTAATGTTGTATCATGGATGAATGCAGTTAGGTTTTAAAATTCCATTTATTTTGTTATCTACTCTTATTTTTCAAGTTTTTCAATTTCATACTTTCCCTATCAATCCAAATTATATTAATATGGTTCTTATCCTCATTCACATACCAAATATTGATTTCATACCCCAAAATGGAAACATACCATCATCAAAGTATGACATTTTTAATGGACATGCAAAAAAAAAAAATCACATTTTTTAACTTTAAGTCTCTATGTACTTCATTTTGATAAAGACAAGATATAAGTCTCATGTATGTCGTCTTGGTAAAGATGAGACATACAATTTGCTTAAGAAAAAAGATTAGAGGTTTTTTTTTTTTTAAAAAGAAAAAAAGATTAGAGGTTATCGACAGTGTATATTAATTTTTATATTTAACTTTTAATTTTATCAAATTGAAGTTTGAACCCAAAATTTAAATAAAAGTAGCAATGTTTACTTTCCGTTTAGTTTTTACTCATTTTAACAAAAAGTAAATATTCTTCAAATGCATTAATTATAAATAAAAAAAAAGTACTTTTTTTTTCTTTCTTTTTCTTTTTTTTTGGCAAAGGCATAAAAATAAGTTTGGCTAATGTTAAAATATTATATTGTTTCTGGTACTTTTAAATTGGTCATTTTAATTCGTGTACTTTCAAAAATTTTGTTTTTTACCTATACTTTTAAAAAGTAACTACTTTTTTCTCTTTATTTTATTTTAAATATGACGTTATGTTCAAATATATATTTTTGAAATGTAATAATGACTTTATACTATAAGATTTATATTGTGTAGAACTTGTGTTAAAATTTTGAAAATATAGATCAAAATAGTTACTTTTTAAAGTATAGAGATTAAAGAAAAATAACTCGAATGTTGTTTCTCTCTAAATCCTTTTAATTTTCTAGTGAACCTATATTTTATTGTACTATTTATTAAATTTAAAGTAAAATATTTTTAGTACAGCATGTGGGGTGAGAGATCGAACTCACAGACATATGTCAATTGCCGCTGAACTATACTCGTTTTGATAAATTTAAGGTAATATTGTAACACCTATCCATCCAAGTTTAATATCTATGGTAAAAAATGATACACCCACTCTTTAAAGGATAAAAATTTACTCTGTTCCTTTTTTTCTTAAGCAATTACAGTATAAAATTTTATTCTAAGATAGATAATCTAAACTAATTGGTATTCGTTAGTTGGATGGCTTGAGATAATCACTTTTTTAATCTTGGTCTCTCTCAATTTTACTTATTATTATTAAATAGAGTGGCAGCCCAACAAAAAGTTGAAAAGGACCTCTTTTATCATACATCTTCTGCTTTGGAGTATATGCATAAGAAGGCAACCCCACCGAAAAGGGAAAATTAAATAGATAAATGAACTCAAGACTTGCATATCCCACCCCATTTGTATTTGAATAAAAACTTTACAATCCACCTAATTTTTATTATATGTTTTGTTTTATGTTGGGTTGACTCACATATAATTATATATGCTAAATTTTATTTTATGCTGACTCATACATTAATTTTATATCAATTTTAATATAGTTTAATTGGTTTAGTTAAACCATTAATCAAAATACCGAATCTCTACCTTCACATCTTCACATATTATTGAGCTAAACAAATTATTAAATTGTATGTATTTACTTTTGAATAAGTTCATAATAGGAACTGGTAAATTTTCACTTTAAAAATAAGAATATGTAAAATTGTTGAAAATTATTAAGTGCATTTGGTAATTATATGGGAAAACGTAGTTATTTACTTATTAAAATATATTTTATATAATAAATAATCTAACAATAAAAAGAATGGGAAAACAGTACAAAAATTAAGAGATAAAAACAGATCCGATACTGACATCTGCAGTACAGTGTAATATATTACAAATTAAATAAGATACCTATTGAAAAATACAAATATAAACATATCAAATATGAAATTGAATTGGACAACATTCACATTTCGTTTTTCCTTTTTATTTTATCAAAAAAATTTAAGCATCTAACAGCTATTATTGTTTATTTTAAAAACAACAAAGTGATTTCTTGTTTTAATTTTTAATTTAATCCAAAATATAAATAAAAATAACTTTTTATTGTTATAAAATAGATACCCATAGATATACCGAATAGGGTATAGCTCAACAATTAATGTATTATAGAAATAAGAGGTTGAATCTCCCATTCTTATATGTGTTGTACTCATGATTCTAAATATCCGTCGATACGTCGACATTTCCATCGATATATCCATGTTTTCATAGGTTCGATATCGACATGAGGGGTGAATCGACATTTCCATTATAGTAGAAGAAAATTGATAAAATATGAAAAATATCAACAAAATGTCACTTTATGTAATATATATATATATATATATATATAATTATAATTATTAGAAATGGGAAAATATTTATTTGTTAATTTAAATATTTTTTATTATTTTTTAATTTTTATAAATTTTATAGAAATATCCATCGACGTCGACATTTTATCGATATTTCCCTGAAATTGAGAACTCGACATTTCCATCGACATCAACATTTAAAACTTGTTGGCTGTACTAAAAAAACTCTAGATATATCAATAAAAATAATTCTAAAAGTTTTTGTATTTTTTTATTGATGTTAAAATTTAACTAAGAAAGAAAAATTGGTCAGAATGAACCAAACTAGCGATAATTGGTATATATCTCCAATCAAGAGATTGTGAAATCGAATCCCTCATATTTTCACTTTATTTTAGGGAAASATTATTGAGTCTCTTAAGTTAAATAAACTAGGCAGAAAATGCTGATATGTATGTATTTTTATTATGTATTTTTATCGTTTTATTTATATTTTTGTGAAAAAGATTTTTGATACCTAAATTTTTAAAATTATTATTTGAAATATTTCATTATTTCAAATAWAATATCTATAATTATTTTCAAGGATAGTCTATATGATAGATATGGTAATTCCCTAATCTTTCGATTTTGATTTTATTAAAAAGAATACCAACCCGAATTTTCCCGTTCAACACCTGCGGCACAAACCCATTTTTGACCTATTGGTTATAGTATTATAGGCGACCGAACGGCCGCCCCCTAATTACTAGACCAACCCACTATAATAATTCTATAAATACCTAGCGAAGATATGACAAACAAATAAAGTAGTCTATGTTCRGATCTGACAATACCATACCATAATCAAAAGGTACAACGGCCCGAGCGACCAGACTTAACATAAATCTAGCCATTGAAGCCATTATAAAAAGGGAAAAATTTGCACTACTTAGTGAAAGAGGTTCTTTTAGAGGTTGTAACAATTGAACGATCCCGCTACATCAGGACCCTTTCAATGTTGCACAAAAACCATTACTTTACGTTTAGCTAGCACTAAAAAGGCTACGTTGTAACAACAAAACAAAAAAAAAAAAACTGAAAATTACTTGTTAAAAATGCCACTATCCCGATTTTATTTTTGTTTTATTTTAATTTTTTTTCTTTTTTGTGTATCCTTTTGGGTTTGGCTGATGTTTCTGCTATTTTCTTCATCATTTATCCTCAAGTGGACGATCAATCGACGAACCCAGTTCACTTCAGTTCAACCTCATCCGGATTTGGAAACTTAAATCCGTTATGAATTTGCTCACTATCAACTGTCGATGCACATCATCGAACACCGCTTCTACCTCCATTCCATTTGTATGGAGGAAATCTACTTTCATGGGTATGCCCGTAACTTGATTTCAACTTTTGGGGTCTCTCCTATTCTTCCACAAAACATATATTCTTGAACTAATTGCGCCTTGTTTATTTCATTTGTAAAGAAGATTACATCCTTCTGTTAATGGCTCATAAGTGACTGTGTGTTCGTAGGTACGAGTAGGAAGGGTATTGGCCTCTGCGAAATACAAAGGGATTTCCCCACAGGATTATGCAGTGTGAGATTTCCAATTTTGGTTTACAATGTATGTTTGATCTGATTATGCGTTTATGAACTTTTAAGAAAGGAGCCTTTTCCTTTGTATGCAGGGGTCTAACGTAAAGCCAATGGTTTACGCAAGGCGGAAGTCCGCGAGGAAATTGGAAAGAAAAGGCGAGGAAGTTTCTGAAACGTCCCCTTCTGCTGATGAGAATGCTGATGATGTGAAGATGAACTCTTCTGATAGTTCACCCAAGAACAGCTTGAATAATATCTCCTCAAGGAGTTCTGTGCTTCAGGCTTGCACAATTACTTCTGGTTTGATTGCTGCTTTGGGTGTAATAATTCGACAGGTTATGCATACTTAGGCAACAGAAACTTTTATGTTCATCATATATTATTTTAGCGCTGTTCATTTCTTGATTTAGGATAGTTGTTCTAATAAAATAGGGAAAGTGGAATATGAGTTTATCAACAGCACTTGCAAACTGAAAGCAAAATCGGATTTGGTCATCAGTCCTATTCTTTAATATCATTGTGGCAAAAAGATGTGTACCCATCTGAAATCTCTTTTTGAATGATATTTTTCCATTCTCGATTTGAGGAGACAAAATTAAAAGTTTACATATTCATTATGCTGTAGCTGTAGTTTTCTTTTGCGACTGTGATTACTTGTCTTTGTGGTGACAAGTAGTTTCTTAACGTATTGATAGATAATGGAAGTATGGATGACATTTTCTTGATCTTGAGAGATGAAGAAATGCATTCTAAGATCTGTTTCGGTGTTGTATGTTTCAGGTATCTCATGTTGCATCGATAGAGGGACTGCCAGTGATTGACTGCACCTCGGAAGTATCATGTAGGACTTCCAAGTTCATTTCTCCCTTCTTGCTAATTTACTATTCCTCTTGAAGAGAAAGAATGTCCCTCCCAAAAGACTGCTGAAGCAAAAGAACCTCTAGCTGATATTGATTATAGGTTAGTTATAAAGAATTTCATGAACTAACTTATTAATTTACTGTCGAACATAGCCCTCTCAATGTTCATTAACATCCTGGAAATAAAGTTCTTGCTTCCTTATCTCTAGTAAAACTCTAAATCTTGGTTGGCTCTAATATTTACAGGTGTACGAGTCATTTTTATCATCTCATTGATTGCTAAAAAATATTACCATGTGAACAAATTCTAGATTTCTTTTCACTAATTTTCTTTTGAAGATATAACCATTTCTGCTCTGGACAAATGGCTAAGAATGTGGAATCACAATGTCCCTGTTTCCTTAATTCTTTTTGATTTAGTAGCTGTGAACTAAATGGCTGTCATCCATCTCTTCTGTACTCCATTCTGGACAGTTAGTTTTGAGATGAGGCAACTTCAGTTGATTACAGGACTGGTTGTTCTAATATCTTCATCCCGATATATACTGTTGAAGATATGGCCAGACTTTGCCGAGTCTAGTGAAGCAGCTAATCGACAGGTAGCTGGTTAACGCTTTTATCTGTAAATCTAGAGGCAGCAAGAGCTGAAAATTTTTGTCAACGGCCAACTTATCAATGTTGAGTTCTAGCATTTGAAAATACTCCAACTTTCAATGCAGGTGCTCACTTCACTTCAACCTATAGATTATACAGTAGTTGCCTTTTTGCCCGGGATTAGCGAGGTGAACAAAGTACATCACCACGTTTTTTGTTTACTTCTCGATCTATTGGTTGCTCTCACTCCCGAAACATGAATCCTTGCTTCTACATTTACTTGCAATGTTTCAAGTAACAGCATATGCCTCTCTGGGTACAGGAACTGCTTTTCCGTGGCGCGTTGATACCACTCTTGGGATTCAACTGGGCGAGTGTCATGGTGACAGCTGCCATATTTGGCGTTCTACACTTGGGTGGCGGCCGGAAATATTCATTTGCAATATGGTATCCATATCTCTATCTGAACTCCATATGATGTGCTTGATGTATAAATTCTATCCTCAGCATCATGAATTAGATCCTTTTAACTGCATAATTCATATGCTCTTGCTCTTGGAATAGGTTGATAGTTAAAATAGCTCACTTTTTCTTGTTATTTCCTTTTACACTACCTTCCATCCCACTTGAGCCAGAGTTTGCTTTTGCTCTTGTACTGCTGATTTCTCTGTTGTAATATATATATAACACAGGTGTTGTATATAAATGGTGTAAACAGAAAAAACTGTTTTTGACTCTTGAAAACAAAATTTTGATTCTTCTTGTTCTGAAAGTTTTATCCAATATATATTTCTTTTTCTCAGGGCAACTCTTGTTGGACTTGCTTATGGTTATGCGACTATCGAGTCCGCTAGCGTCGTTGTGCCGATGGCTTCTCATGCATTGAATAACCTGGTTGGAGGAATTCTGTGGTGCTCTGAATCAAGGTCTTTGGAGAATCGTGAAGATCAAGAGTGATCAAGATGATAAATAATATCTTGGTTAATAGATATTTTGCTTGTATTAAGTAGATATGGCGAATTTATTATAAATGGACAGTTTTTTCTTTTTCATATTTATAAGCTAATTAAAATAACAAATTAGAGTTTGTTGGACATATCTACCTCCCCAGACCTACTTAGTTTGAGGATTCTATTGTTCATAGAAAAAAATGTATAGTTTGAGGATTCTATTAGTTCAATAGCCAAGCATGAACTTAATTTAGCGGTATTTGACACTTGTATTTGACCAATAAGTCATTAGTTTGAATCTCTCACCCCCACTTATTGTATTAAAAAGGAAAAAAAAAATAGTGAAATAGTTAAAAAGACATTATTAAATTTTTCCATATGTTAAAAGTAGGAAAACTTTAAAGCAATAGACCCTTATGTTTATTTGTTAGAAATCTATAAGCGATCATTTATTTCCGCCGTGTTTCATTAATGTCCTTAGATTGCAGTAAAGAAAATAAAGAATGTCTTCATTCTACCTTGTCTAGAGTTATTACATTTGGAAAGAGAGAATTTTAACTTACAATTGAGATGCTATAATCTTCGAATTTCAAATTATAAATGGCTGGAGAATATTTTATTAAATTATCATTATTATTTATATACACTTTTATTTTAAATAGAGGAGTGATTTTACATACTCATTCGAATATAACTTTATGGATAAGATACATCAAAATGTTGTGTAAAGTGTAAAATTGTAAGGTTAATTGAATCGAGCGTTCCGAATTTGACTCAATAGGTTGTGAATAAAGAAAAGATATATTCTTCACTCGTACTACTGGGTCGAAGATGATTTGTCCAAAGAAAAAATGAGCTAATGCCAACGAGGTACTGGTATACACTAGGAAGTTGGGTGTCGTGGGGTATATTCCGTACTTCTATTTTCTGGAGACCCTATATTTATGGAGATTTTTAACTTACTTCTCCCAACAAACTTGGGGACCAAACAAACTCAAGGACCAAGTTTGCATGTGACGTCATGGTGCGGCGTGACTTGTAACTTGTAAGTAGACAAGGGCTGCAGTGCTGTGGAATGGTGCTACCAAAATGGCAAGTGCACGAGCCAGAGTCCACTTTTTGGTTGTGGTTTGCTGGTCATGGAGAGGGTGAGCCACTTAGGCCGTGTAGGTTACATGGGTCGAGCACCTTTTGAGGGAGGCGCGACCACGATAGCCATGCTCACCGGATGGGCTATGCCACGAGGCATGACCCTTGAGGGGAGGCACGACCATCAGAGTGAGGGCCCTTCCTTGAAGATGGTGAAGCCTTGCACGGCCCCAAGTCATACCTCTTACGTGTAGTATTTTTTATTTTTTATTCTTTTTTGAGTTTAATCACAATATGAAAATATTATTAAAACGAATATAGTTAAATAATAATTGACATATATCTCTAATCAAGAAGTTGTGAGTTTGATCACTATCCTTTGTTGTAAATAGAAATTCAAACCAGTAACAACTATTTTTGAGTTGGACCAAAATATAGGTAGTTGAAATTTTTTCACTTTTTTGAAGAACACTTCTACAAACACGTGGCAGTTGCAAAAAAATATGTATTTTCATGGAAATCAAAATGATTGAGACGGGACGCCGGCGGCCATCGCTTTTAATTTGAGAGGGCGGCCGGTGGCAGCTCGGAGGATGATGGTTTGTTTAACTAATTGGTTGGCAAGCCCCTCACCTACCATACTTAGTGATTGGCTGTGCCAAAACTTATTCAATAGGCCATACCTGATAATTCAATTTTATAATTATGTCACTAAGATTTATATATTTCAATTTTCAAATTTCCTTCCGAAACAAAATAGTACACTATTCTCTCTCTATATCTATATATAGTCACACAGTACCTAAAAGAAAATTTTCCCACCAACATAAAATTAATTATTTATAGATATCGACGAGGTTGAGACTCGTACCATCTATTTTTTTAGGATATATTCTAGCAATTTTTTTTTTGGGAGTGGTATGAATGCATCAACAAGTTCCTAACATCGTATTTGATTATAAGATACAAAGCTAGTGTAATTGTTGTATTAGTAGAGATTATTTACCCACATCGTAGAGTATGAATGATTGTTTGGGTCGCCTCTATATGTCATATTTAGATATAACGTAATTCTAGAATTCATAGTGGTGTCTCTTGTTATGCTTTAGTTATTTTACCTATTGTTTCATAGTGAGGTTTATACTCGTACTACCACTTGAAAGAATAATGTTCGTTCTATATCTCAAACCTTTATAAAATATGTTTAGATTTATTTTAATAACAGAGTTCCTTTTTTTTCTTCTAATTTCGGATGTATGTTGTGTTTTTTTGTTGTTGTGTTTCAGGGTGGTGTTTTGTCAATTTTTTTTTACGACAAGTCATCTCTTTGTTTCTTTTGTACCTTGATCTCGAGGCGAAGATCATGCTTTTTCCCTTAATATATATATACCTAACTTTTGCCAAAATAATAATAATAAAAAAAATCATAATCCCATTGTTAAATATTAATGATTCAATGCATTAGATAATTGATGCTAAATTGGTAAATTTTAGCTGATATATAGTTTTTAGAGTTACTTATATAAAGAGTATAAAATAAATATGTATATTTAACTATAACATCAAATTTGAAAATTCTAAAAAATAGCATAATCCAAATCTAAAATACACTAAGAAAAATATACTTATGCTATATTTGAATTATTAATATTTTCCATCTCAAAACAAATAGAGRCCTTAACCATTTGAGCTATACTCGATTTGACAATGTAATAATAAACTTAAGCATGGTAAAAGTAATATTTTTCTGCAATTAAAACCGTAAAATAATCTATTAATAAGTGTACCGAGGTAATTGAGATATTTTTCTGCAATTAAAACCGTAAAATAATCTATTAATAAGTGTACCGAAGTAATTGAGATATTTTTCTGCAATTAAAACCGTAAAATAATCTATTAATAAGTGTACCGAAGTAATTGAGATATGTCCCTTATTTTTTAGGATTGAGAGGATGAATCTTTCCTCTCTATTTGTTGCAATGTTTTTGGGCTGGAGATATACTTGGAAAACATCGCAAAAGGAAAAAAAGATAGAACGCAGAATTTTCTTTTGCTTGTAGCCTGTGCTGTATCGCCTCCTACAACGCTAAAAACTCCATGGCCAATGGTAAAATTTTAAATGAGGTGGTTAGCTCATCTACCTTCAGCGACCCGTCAACTGTTTCCATAAATGAAAACCCCTTCATCTTTTTCTTTTCCTTCTTTTATAGCTGCTTCTGCTTCGTTTTGTTCTTGTTTTATACGTGGGTTCCTATAAATCCCGCATTTCTCGACCCCAAAATCTTCCAACCAAAGCTCTTCCAAGATGGAGCTTGAATTAGTCGAGCAGCTTAGATCTCAGCCACTCTGGGTTTGCTTACTCTTTGCACTGGGTTCTCTCTCGGCTCTCAAATTCTCTTTAATTTTTCTGAAATGGATCTATGTCAATTTCCTCAGACCCCCGAAGAACCTCAAGAAATACGGGTCCTGGGCGCTCGTCACTGGTCCCACTGACGGAATCGGTAAGGGTTTCGCGTTCCAATTGGCCCGCAAAGGGCTCAATCTGATTTTGGTGGGCCGAAACCCTGACAAGCTCAAGGACGTCTCGGATTCAATCGTCGCGAAGTACGGCAGCGTCCAGATCAAGAACGTCGTCGTCGATTTCTCCGGCGACCTTGCCGAAGGCATTAAGAGGATCGGCGAAGCCGTCGAAGGGTTGGATGTGGGGGTTTTGATTAACAACGTGGGGGTTTCGTATCCGTATGGGAGGTATTTTCACGAGGTGGATGAGGAGCTTCTGGAAAACCTAATCAAGGTCAATGTCGAGGGCACCACCAAGGTGACTCAAGCTGTTTTGCCTGGAATGCTCAAGAGGAAGAGAGGCGCCATAGTTAATATTGGTTCTGGCGCTGCCATTGTCATTCCCTCGGATCCACTCTACGCCGTCTACGCCGCCACTAAAGCGTAAGACCCCTTTCTTCAAGTTCATATTCGTTTATGCATAGCTTATATATGTTTCCTACACGATATGTTGAATCTTGCTGGAAGGATGATGAGTATTGTAATTCCAGGTACATTGACCAATTCTCGAGGTGCCTGTATGTTGAGTACAAGAAGAGTGGAATTGATGTGCAATGTCAGGTAATATCTCTTGTATTTGGTTTCAGGTTGAGATTGAGATGTGGAGGCTGTTTTATTAGAGTGAGTCAATGAGCTAGATGTAGTGGGAGTTCGATATGACTTGATGGTGAAAAGTTCTTTTAGTTCTTTAAAACTACTTTTCAAACTCTTTAACAGGTTAGGCTAAAAGTACTTATGAAAATTTGGCATAGAACATTTAATAACTGCTATTTCTTAAAGTGTTAGGTTGGAAAAGTAGTTCACATCAAAACATAACTTTCACGAGCTGTACCAAACTAGGAATGAGTTCTACATGACTTAATGAGTGGTTGTTTTCAAGTCTCAATTATAAACACTGTTCTAAAAAATCATCCAGAACTCACTTACTTGGTGATTCCAAACAACGGTGAAACAAGACTCTCTCTCTTTCACTGACCAGTCTAAAACAATGGTGAAGATCAATTTTTTACCTCTATCTTGTAGTCGTTGAATACTTCTTCTGCGGCTCTATGATCTATAGTTATGAAAAGCTGTAAAATGGAAATAAAAGTTGAATGACCTTCTGGCATAGGACTTAGGAAAAACGATGATAAATTTCCAAGCAATGGGAAAACATGGAAATTTTTGTGAAGCAGAAATCAAAATTCTACTTATAAGATTGTGTAGCGCACAGTGAATATTACAGATGTATAGAAATTCTAATGGCTTGACAATTTTTCTACATTCTTCTGTTTTCCAACTAAAGTAAAGTCGATAGGTTTATCCCTTGGTATGCTGTATCATACCTCTGCCATTCGAGAGCTTTGCTCCCCTATATCCAGACGCAATTGCTCCCGCCCAAAAGTTTGTTGGTTGTCATTTGCATTTTTCTCTGATTTCCAAGTTCATGATGCATGAAAGCATATTAGTTTTCTACTGCAGTTGATTGATTGTCTTTTATCTCACGTGTTGTATATTTAGAGAGCGGCTTTGTAAAACAAAAGGAAGGCATGGGAAATCTGTTAAGCCTTCATTTAATGAAATTTGTCAATGCAGGTCCCGTTATATGTTGCTACAAAGATGGCGTCTATTCGAAGATCATCCTTTTTCGTTCCTTCAACAAATGGATATGCAGCAGCAGCTCTCCGCTGGATTGGGTATGAGCCTCGCTGCACACCTTATTGGCCCCATCAACTTCTTTGGGGTTTGGCGTACTCGTTCCCGGAGTCTGTTGTTGATTCTTGGCGCCTGAAGTTTTGCCTTGGTATCAGAAAGAGAGGACAACTCAAAGACTCTAAGAAAGAGTAGGAAGATTTGTAGTTCTAATTTCTGGAGAAAAAAGAACCTTTCTCCTTAGTGTCAGCTACTTTGTTGAGGATTGAAACACTAGCATGATAGATTGAATGTTTGGAGTTTCATTCTCCTTTGATGATCTTTCGATATATTTCTTCAATTTAAGGTTAGCCTTTTCAATTTTCTTTTTGAGAAAGGAAAATAACAAACGACTTTACTTATCGACCAAAATATGTCAGGTTGTACTAGTGTGTCATTGAGTTCTAAGATAAATGGAAAAGAACAATTAATCTTTTGAGAAATGGATTAAGTTTTGTTGTTGTGGCAGGTTTTGTTATACTCTCATTCTGTTAATACATTAACAAATTTGATATCAGCCATGTTTGGGATCTTTTAAATGTAGATATTATAAGTTTTAATGATATTTAAAAAATAACAATTCAGGAAGTTTTATCATATTATTTGGGTTGGAGACCAAATTATCGACATTCGAATCTTGAGATTTTAATAGAGAACTTATCAGGCAGTACAGTAGAGAGAAAAATGTACTTTTCTCAAAAAAAAAAGTAGCTGTGGCACTCTCAAAAGATTAAGATAATGCCAAGCTATTGGGCGTGATTTCTGCGAGGGATTTGTACGCACATGTTCACTTTGGGCCGATTTGAAATGGGAAAGCTGGCCAGCAGAATATTCAAATTGGGCTCTGAATTCGTTTCGGCCCATTTGAAATGGGTCAGACGGGTCAGCGAATATTCTAATTGGGCTATGAGTTAGTTTTGGCCCATTTGAAGGAATGGGCCAAGTTGGACTGTCGGAGACGTTGGTAACATGGTGTTCAACATTCCCGCTACAAGGCAAGTGGAGGCCTTCCATAATTCCATTTATCTTAAAACCATCTTCCTCGCTCCGGCCACCTGCTCGCCGTCGCCGCTTCATTGCGGCTCTCTCCTTGTGTTCTGTTCTGTGTTTATGTCAAGGAACGGCCGGAGAGGACGAGAAATAAGCTTTAGAAGAACGTTTCTCATCACTTTCGCTTGTAGTTAGAGTTCTATTTCGAGCATTGAATTGAATGCAATGACGACACCGGGTTCCCCCGACGCTGCGGCGTCTCGCAATATTGTTTTCATCGACACCAGCCTCGACACTCACTTGGCGATGGCCGTCTCAGACGGCGATTCCGTCTCCGATGTCAAAGGTAACTTCTGCTATCTCCTTTTTATTTTTCTTCCCCTTCTTTTCTTTTCGCGGGTGTACTATTGTAGAGCTTATCTTTGCAGTGATGATCAGTGTAGAATCGTTTGATTGATTGAGTTAAATTTCTGGGGGAAAGCTGGCGCACGAAGCTAGTTATTTGTTTGAATGACTTTCGAATTATTTGGGATGCGAAGGCTGCGGTATTTTGGAGCGTTTTTTTGGAAGCATGACAGCTATATTTTCATGTCAAGGAGTTTTGAGCTGAGATTTTATTCCTATGGTCATTTGAAGTTCTCTTTACTGTTGTCTGAGATCCCTACCGAAGTTTTGCATCGCTTGTTGAAACCTCCCTTCATAGCTGATTGAATGGTTGGATAGCCACTCAACTGCTTACTCTGCTTCCTCTACCTCACTCCCACCCTATCTCGACCCACTAACTGGAGTATGTTAGGCTAGAATGCCTCAATTCCCTATCCCACCCTTTATGATCTCTAAATCTTTCCACTATGAGACATTCATAGTGCAAAAGCATATGAATGCACAAGTTTCTTTGACTTCTTTACCTCTCAACTTGATAGGGGTAGGATAGGGATTTCTAGAAGAGTTTCAAAGGTCATTCAGTCATTGAAGCATGCGTGATACAAGTACTCCTCTGTGCAAATGTTTTGACTTTTAAAAGACGAGTAGGGAATGGGGAGGGGGAGGGAGTTTCAGGTTAAATGCCCCTGGATTTCAAAGTCAAGCTCTAATCACCGAGTGGATTTTTTATAATGAAATTTTGTTGGCAAGTTCTTCCATTCCTATTCAACAGTACTTAATACCAATTCTTCTGCTCTATTATTACTACTGTTTTCTTTCTTCAAGCGCATTTGAGTCGGAATTTTCACTAAATCCTACCTACCTATCTATCTGACATGATTGTATTTTTCTTTTTCCTCCCTTCATTATTAGCGTTCTCATGGTTTATAACTTCACATTTAAATGACACTTTGATTCTTTTGCACGCAGAGAAAATAGAGAAGGAACATCCACTGTGTTTCTCTCATCTAGGGAACATAAAAATTCATGCATTAAAGGTACTTATTTACTCTTCTGTATGCGTGAGCACAATGATTATATATGTCTTTATTATTTACAGGTACGGGATCTTAATCTGGCAGGTACAGCGCAGAGGGCACCTTTATCACCTTTCTGACTCCATGTATTTGAAAAGCGCATTTGTTGGGGTCGACGACAGCGACAGTTGGTTTCTTTCTATTGATGCTTCTCTTGCTGATGGTCATTCAACTGACCCTAATACTGGAAATCTTTCAACTTATTTTAGAAGGGCTGATAAAAACTCCGTTGATGGAAGCAATCTTCCCAGAAATAATCATCGTGGAAAAATACCTAACAATGAATCTCCACCATTGCCGGACAATGCGGTTCAACAATATGTCAATGAGAAAACCCCTACTGATATCTATTTTGGTTCATGTCATTCTAGTAAAAAAGATTTAATGGTTAAGAAGGTAGAAGTTACTCATTCTGTTGAAAATTGCAGCAAAGATCAACCGAGCAGGACAATGAATGGTTGTGAAGGCCTTAACAGGACATTGGAAACTTTGCATGATGTGAAGGTGAATCGTAAGCGTAAGAAGAGAAAAACAAAATTGATTAATGAACATGAAGTTGTTAATCATACCAGTGCTGATAATCAAAATCCATTGCAGCAAGTCGTTGGATCTTGTGAAAAATCCAGAGATTATGCACCTAATGAAGTTTCCAATCTCCCGATGATGGAAAGTAAATCCAATGCCGGTGAACCTGGTCATATTTCATCTTCTAATACACATGATGGATCTGAACATGGAATCAAGCGAAAGTATAATTTATCTGAGAAACTTGAAGTTGATAGCAGAAATGATAAATCTAAAAAGGCAATTCACCTGATGGATAATTCTTCAGAAGTAGCTGCACAAGTTGGGTCTACTGTGAAAAAAATGCAAAAGATTAAAACGAGGAGTGGAGTAGTGAATGGGGAAGGAAATAGAGATTTGGTTTCTGATTCTAGTAAAGTGACATCTACACCTAAGGTCACTTCAGAATACCTATCAGATAACAAACAAACTGCAAAAGTTGTCTTAGGTAGTCTATCTACTGAACCTGATGCCTGCCTGCTAGAAACTGGTTCAAGTGATGTGAAGAAGAAAAATAAAAGGAAAAAGAAGTTGTCTGGTTATCCAAAGCAAGCTGTTGGTTTGATTTCATCTAGAGTAGGGGACCAACAGGATGCAAGTCGAGAATCTGATATAACAACTGTCCCCAGTCAAGATATTGAGGCGGCATCAATTCCTGATTGCTTAGGAACATCTGTAAGGGAAAGGCAGAATGATTCTATCCGTAAAACTGCAGAAGATTTTGCATCGTCCCTGATTGGAGAGTCCTGTACGTTTTTCCTCGGACATTATTTTAGCATTATTTGTGTGTGCACGTGGTTGTATATTACATGAACACGAAAGATCATGTTTAGAGCTTTGCAAACTAGTCCAAAAAATGATGGGTTCTGATATTGATTCATATTCTTCTTGTAGGTGGTGATAAGAACATGGAACTTGGCGATCTGGAAAGCATAAGGGATGTGTCTGATAAAGCTGCGTTAGGAGTAAAAAGAATGACAGATTCAAATGATGCTGCCTTTAAAATTCATGACCCTACTGATCTTCAGAGAAGTATTTGTACATCTGAGGATGCCAATAATGTTCAAAGCAATCATCTGACGTGCAAAACTGGACAGATTGTTGCCATTCCAGAGGAAAGAGATTCTATGCAGAACACTGATACAAAAGCTACAATGGTAGAAAACTGCCACTCATCAATCTGGGATGGTACTGACACTAACGTTCAAGCTACTCATATTTCTAAATTAGTGCATTTAAAGGGAACTGCTGAAAGCACCAAGCATAGTAAGACAAAGAAGACTAAAAAGTCTAGGGATTTAGCTGAAGGAAGACGGACTAATTTAGTCACAACAGGCGATAGAGATTCTGAATATGATATTCCTTCAACTGAGCTTCATAGTATTACATTAGGTGATAATTCCAGTAGTAAAGCTGAGATGGTAGAAAGCAATGTTTCTCTAATGAAGGGAGAAAACACAACTAGCGCTTCTATATTGCCTACTGTTAGGAACATAGACATAGATGGAGAATATATAAGTGAGGTGGAACCTTCGCAGAAAATTAACAAAACTGAAGCAGGAACAGAAAACGTGGATGGGCAGGTGAGAGTGAAAATTAAGAAGAGACCTGCGACTTCAGTGAAAAGTACGTCATATCTTCAAGCAGGAAATATAGGTAATGAGGATTCATTGCTATCAAATAGAAGTAATAGGGAAGTAAAATCTGTGTCTGTAGCAGCAAAGAAAACTAAGTCGCCAAGGAATGATATTGAAGAAGCAAATTTGGACTCTACACTGTTTTCTGAGGTTGAAAGTAGTCCTCCTCCTAGCATTTGCAAGAAGTCTAGGATAGTTGGATCCTCCCAAACTCTACTTCAAGTTTCTGAAGGCAATTATGAAGGGAGGTGTCTTGAAGCAAATATATGTAGCAACACTGCTAAAGATGGTACTGCTAATAATGTTGATAGTCGCGCTGAAGTTCCTTCTGAAAGTGATAAAGTTGGCATTGAGGAAAGTGCAGGTGGACTCCAGGATGAATCTATTAAATTGCATGTTGACAAGTTGAGTAGAGAGAAGAGTGTGAATACTTTGCCCAAAGCTAAAAGAAAAAAGAAATATCCAAATGGCTGCTCTTCTGGGGCCTCTTTAAGTATGCAGAACATACAGAAGTCGGATGAGAAAACAGAGACTGGGAGACAATGTCAAACTAGCAACTCGAGCTCTCTCAAGTTTGATGGAGCACCACCAAAGGATAAGCGTGATGGGAAGCTTCATTTTGACAATAAGGTAAAAAAAAATTCAAGAGGTGGGGTAAAATCCCTGCCTTCTAATGAGCATAAACAGCAAATACCTAACTCTAACAAAGCAGCTAGGGTAAGGGCAAATACTGTCGATTCTTCTTGGGACAGTACCGAGAAAAACAGTGAAACTTCTGCTGTACCAAGAACAAGATCGAGCTTGAAAAATTCATCAAGTATGGTTTACCAGGATCAAAAGCATATGGGACACCAATCTGGCAATCCTGTGGGCGGACGAAAATCTTCTCAAAATGGAAGTAAAGATGCTACTCGATCAGAACGAAGGAACTTGTTGGCTACATCAGGAGGCATATTTAAGGATGCCAGCAGTGATAGTTCTGAGGATGAAGGTGGAATTGCCGATTCAGATGTTAGTATCAGATCTCCAGATAATTCACTGTCATCTGACTTCTCAGATGGTGAAAGCAATGGTAACATCAACTTATCAGAAAATGGTAGTTGATTTTTAGCCATGTTGAGATTATATTGCTTTGCATTTATGTCATCCCTGCTGCTTTTAAGATAACTGAAAGAGTTTATTAAACTTTTGGGCTCTCCCCTCGTTTTTTCTTTATGCAATCATGTTATCTGCTTCTTATAGCTAACGTTTTGCTACTGAATAAAATTTTCTTCAGGTTCTGTTGATTCTATTGAAAGAGAGAGCATCCGTAGGAGAAGCATTAGAAAGAAAGAGTAAGTTAATTATGAAAATGACGTTGCTTGTCTTTCCTGAATGAAGACATCTTAAATATGATAGCATCTGCTGCCCTGAAGTTGTTTATTTTTTTCCAGATTTTCTTGCCTTCACGATTTTGTTTCTCATATGTGTGTCATCAAAGAACCGTGTTGGTCCACCATTCTATAATTTGAGTAACAGAACGAGATGCTATTTATCTACTTGGAAATAAATAAAGACCAATTTTCTGGAGATCCTATTGTTAACATTTTTTTTACATACATAATTAATTCTGATATCTTAGCAATAGGTCCAGAGACTTCTTGGTTCATCTATTTGCTTTAGGTTTGCAGACAAAGCTCCTCATCTATGCTTCTATTTAAAAATTTTACAGAAATACTCCATCCCATTATTTGGAATGTTTGCATGCAGTTCATGCTCTTGTTGGAGATCCTAAAAGAGAGATTACATATGCCCAATACATAGTTAAAGATGTTTTCTTTGTAATTTTGGGTCTCGTATATTTGGTTTTCCCTAGTTTTTCCATGTTGACTTCCAACAAAAAAAATTCTCTTTCAGAGTTTCTTTGAGGTACAATATTTTGCCTTTCCTAGTTGAGGTCTTAATCTTCATCTAAATCGTTTGGTAATCTTTTACAGTTCAAGCCCTGACGATATGGCCCTTGACACAATCCTTCGAAGTTCAAGCAGATATAAGAAGGCAAAGCTCACAGCTGCGCAATTACAACAAGATGATACTGAAAGCCAGCCTGTCGATTTTGTTCCAGACAGTCAGGCTAATCTTTAGTTCGTTATTGTCATGGTTACACCTTACTTCTCCAGGAGCAATATTCTAGATGGCATCGCAAAAACCCTCCCGTTCTAAGTTTGTTAATGGAGTTTATCACGATACCAGATAAATTTTGGTGAACTCGAGAACTCATAAGGAAATTAAATCCTTGAGCATCACTGGATGCTTGCATAATGTTTCCATGCTGGTCTGTTCTGTAGTCTATGGAAAATTCTTATTTTGAAGTATATGATCAGTGGAACCAAACTCTACCGAACTTCAGCACTTTTGGAACGTTGTTTAGGCTGTTTATTTAATGTTTTACGTGTTGTACCCATTATTACGTACGGCTAGATATTGATTGAAGTTGAAAATGTTAAGCAGCTAGCTCTCTCTCTGGTTGCCAATACAAAGTATGAAAGAGAGCCCAATTCCAAAGATTTATATACGTGGAAAGATGTAGCTAATGGCCGAGGTGATAGGAGAAACAATGGTCGTTATTTTAAATAGATTCATTAACATAAACTGCAATTACAGGTGATTCGTTTGCCATCACACTTTAAAAATTGGAGTCACTCGGACCTCATCCTGTTGAGTTGATTTAAAGCTGGCTGGAGAATGTTGTACAGCACCCAAAGAATGGCGGGTGATATGACAAACAGCAGAAGCTGCCCCCTGGCATCACTTGAGGAAGCATCAGCGATCATGGCGATCTCAGCGGCAGAAGCATCAGGTGCGTACATAAACTCTGATGCAGCCAGCCCCCCTAATCCCAACCCAATTATCACACCCTTGTCACTGCGCATTCTGTTGATCTGGTTGAGTGCTGGCTGTAGTATGTTGAACAAAACCCATGCTATGGCCGGGATAAGGGGTAGCAAAAGGGCTAAGCCGCGGTTGTCGCCTTCGGCAGCAATCTCCGCAATTTGCTGGGCTGCAAAGGCAGGATCCGATGAGCTGAAGGCTGAGAAGACAGCTCCAGCAATGGCTGTGCTGGAGAGGAAAGTTGATAAGTTGGGATTTTGACTAGCTTTTGACGAGATTAGTTCTTTAGGAAGGTTCTGAAGAGAGAGGAGAGAGATGGGGTTGGTGATAGGCTTTGGGGTGGTGTGGTTTTTGCTGGAGTTGATGCTTGTGCACTTGACACTGAGCACTGCCATTGTAGCCATGGTGGCTGCCATTGAAGTTGACTTGCTTGTTTCTGTTGATGGCCTTTGGCAGGTAGGGGAGATGCAGAATGAAGAGGGAAAGGTTGGGTTTTGGCAAATTTAGGTGTAATGAGATGAGAAGATGGAAGAACAGAGGTGAAGCCAAGTCAAGGAAATGCCAACCAATAAAATTATGCTGAGTGGATTCTCTCCTTATCCATGGGTGGGGAATGTGAGTCATAAATCTCTTATTTGTGACCCCACCATGGTTTTCTTATCACTTAAACTATAATGTAAAATTAAGATATTATTCTACAATAAAAATAAAAGACTGCACGTATAAAAATCTACCAATCAACTTTGAGTATAGCTCAACGGATTATGACATCCATCTCCAACAAAAAGTAATCAATTTGAGTATAGTTCAACCGATTATGACACCCATCTCCAACCAAAAGGTAGTGACTTGTGAATTCAAATCACATTCATGTATTCAGAAAAGAAACAAAAGAAAAAGAATCTATCAATAATCTTATGACAATGGTAAATTTAAAAAAGGAGCATAAATCATAAAAGAAGTTTTAGTAAGACATATTTGGTCATTCTTGTACCTTTTCGTTTCTTGWTTTTCATTGCAATTTTATATGAGGTAACATAAATTAGAAATAGAAACGCCCTAAAAAATCCAAATCGGAACAAGCATGAAAAATAATGTAAGTTTTAAAATTCTTATGATAATTATAATATACGTGCTAGAGAAAAATTTCCAAGCAAACGAGAATGGTTTCGTTACGTCGTCAATTTCCAATCGCAGTGTTGGCGGTAGATCCAACGGCAGTGAATGAGAGATGCATGCGTATTGCGTCCACTGAAAACAGTTCACCGTCTTGCAATTTCCAAGTTTTCAGCAGCCTCCACGTCTTTCTAATCCCACACTCCTCGCGATGAATCCAAGCATTAATCAATAATCGCGCCACAAACAAGTATTTCCCCAAACCAAAACAAACTCTGATTTTGATCTTCACTCTACACATTTTTACCAAACAAGCAGCAAAACATAACCAATTTTTTGAACCCCAGTGGAAGATTTTCAGCTTTTGTCGCTGAAATCCCCCATCCCATCGTCCAATCAAGCTGTTACTCTAATGCTGCCTCTGCAAATTCACTGCTTTTCTCCGTGAAGTTCGACCCATAAACCCCCTTCCCTTCCTGCTCGATTCGGGGTTTTTGTAGCTTCGTTTGTTCTCGTTTACTTGATAAAAATGGCTACTATTTCAACTTACCACCCAAATTTTGTGTTCTCTCGTTTTCCGGACCGTGTTCCGACCCCGAATCCTCTCTTTTGTGGAGTCCAATTCCGGGGTTTATCCCACCATAAGCCTTTCCTTCGCGGCTCCCTTGCGGTGGCAAGATTCGGGTTTAAACCCGAGTTCTTGCCTGACCCGGATAACGCCGAGGGCTTTGTGAGGGAGTTGTTCGGCAAAGCCGAGACCGTTCTTTACACGATTGCGGACGCCGCCGTGTCTGCTTCGCCGGAGAATGTAACCACCGCCAAGCAGACTGAAGATTGGTTTACGGGGATTACCAATTATATGGAGACCGTCCTTAAAGTATGTTAGATTTAGCTAATTATCACTCATGAATATTACTGTTGATTGTAGTTTCCTTGAAAGGAGGAAGCCGAGAGAAAGGAATGACTAGTTGAAATTCCCAAAACAGTTCATGAACTTTTATTCAACCTTGTTAACTTTCTGTTGCAGATTCTCAAGGATGGACTTTCTGGTCTACATGTTCCTTATGCCTATGGTTTTGCCATTATACTCCTTACTGTTCTTGTTAAAGCTGCCACTTTTCCTTTGACGAAGAAACAGGTTCTTTGCTGAAAAAATAGTTAACTAACTTCAGGTGAATATTCTTCATTCATCTTCCTAGTGTATTTACTTCTTGACTTTGTTGTTCTCAGGTCGAATCAGCAATGGCGATGCGTTCTTTACAACCGCAAGTAAAGCTTGTTCAACAACGCTATGCTGGGGATCAGGTTGAAATTTTTTTCCCTGCCTCGAAGGATGTATCTCTGAAATATTACGGAGGGAGTTAGCCCATTGTAGTTATTCTAGTGCAAATGTACTATATGAAACTATACTTTCTTTAAAATTATCATAATAGCTGGTGATGTTGATTGCTAGCTAGAATTGTCTTCTGGAATTGTGGCATCAGGATTGCAATTGCTCTAGTTTGAAATAGCTGTTGTCTTAACCTACGTTCTTTATATGGTTAGTAAAACGTGGCTGTTACTTTCATAACTATTGGACGCACGAGAGAGAAAATGAAAATATCTTTTTACCACACTTGACCAGAAGGTTATGAGAGTGATAGTCACACAATGATGGCCACCTTCGATTGTTTCTCCTATTTAACCGCAGCAATCTAAATTATATTAAATTTAATTCTCTTTATTTTATGATCAAATCAGACTTTTTAATCTCTGTGTAGGAGAGGATTCAACTTGAAACTGCTCGACTTTACAAAACAGCTGGCATAAACCCACTGGCAGGTAATCAAATTGTGTCTGTTATTAGAGCCATACTTGCTCTGATAAATTTAGATGTAGTTAAACATTGCCTCCCTGTCCATGTATGCGTTATTGGAATCATGAGTGTATTCTTTGGAAAAGGTGAACGACTGCATAAATTTGTTCTGCTCGACTTACTTCTTACACAAACAGGATTTTCTCAGTATGGACAATCTTTGAAGCCTTTTTATAGACAATGTCTGTATGTTCAAGGAATGCAAAACCACTAAAAAATTGAGATGTTGGTTTAACTAGTGTAAATGTTGTTCATGCATTCTTGAAATATCACGCTGCCCCCGATGGAGGGTTGAAATGTTTGAACTCAGCGTTTTGTTTATATTAACCTGCCAGTTGGTCGGTATCTCACATGTCCATGTTTTCTTGAGTTTCAGGATGCCTACCCACATTGGCCACAATTCCTGTATGGATTGGACTATACAGAGCTCTATCTAATGTGGCCAACGAGGTGCTATATTATTACCTTCAAAGTTATTTGTGATTTCTCACTAACATATTCCTAATCCAATTTGATTGCCTAAACCTCAGGGTCTCCTTACGGAAGGTTTTTTCTGGATACCATCTCTAGCTGGTCCAACTACGATTGCTTCTCGACAAAATGGCAGCGGTATCTCTTGGCTCTTTCCATTTGTTGTAAGTAATTTTAGTTTAACTTAACATTCCATTTTGGGAAATTTTGAAAATAAATTTTCCCAGTACTCCTAACCAAAATTTTTTTTTATTGGAATTTTATGTATATTATGCTATACCTTAGTACAGTGACTACAGTCCTGGATATGTACTCTTTCATGGTCTTAGATACTTGTAGAAGGTCATTAGTATATGTAGATCTATGAGTCTGTCAAATACATTACCATCCACCCGGTTGAAATAGTTTCCCTTTCATCTTGAGTTGCAATGCTTGATTTGTGGGGGTCAATTATGACATATTAAGCCATGGGTTTGGTGCTAATTCTTATATTATGGCTACTTTTACTTCTGACAGGATGGTCATCCACCCCTTGGGTGGTCAGATACCTTGGCGTATCTCGTCTTGCCTGTGTTGCTGGTTGTCTCGCAGTACATCTCTGTTCAAATTATGCAATCGTCACAGCCACAGGTCAGTCTTTTTTATGCTTTGGCATGTTTTATGAAGCATTATACTGATATTTGTTTGTATTTATATGAACTAATTATAATTTGCGACCTTGTTAGTCCTCAAACTCGTTAAATCACATCATAATCCTCCTCTGGAAATAATAACATTGAAAATGACATCCTGTTTTCATGCAACTACAACATTTCATTTCTGGCTAACTAACCTGATGACAATGGTCATTTGGAGAATCTTTTCCAATGTAATTCTTGCTGTCTCTCCCTCATCAAGATGCAGCCTTTCACAAGAAGAAAATTATTTGTATTGTTATGTCTCGTGAAAAAATATGTACACAAATTTCCCTTTGAGCTCTATAAAAATATTTTTTTCAAGGTTTATTCGTATGAAAACTTCAACTAATATCAAATATTGCTTACCAATCAGATTTATTTTGACATATAATGGTTGATGGTTCTTTACTAAATTTTGGTTATTAACTTTTAAACCTCAATGTGATGACATCCAGAGCAATGATCCAAGTATGAAGAGTTCTCAAGCCATAACAAAGTTCCTACCGTTAATGATTGGATATTTTGCACTTTCAGTTCCTTCTGGTTTAAGTCTTTATTGGTGAGCAATTTTTTCCAATCAGAACCAGCCACCAGCTCTAGATAGATTGATTTGTCATTTTCTGATTCTACTAGCTGTTCTACCATAATCTTCTCCAGAATTTCTGCATCTCTTACATCTGTCAGATGTTATAACTCAGGTTCACCAATAATATCTTGAGCACAGCTCAGCAAGTATGGCTTCAAAAGTTAGGCGGCGCAAAATTCCCAGACAAACAGTTCAGCGATGAAATCTTCAAAGTAGAACAACAAGTCCAGAGCAAGGATCCTGAGTTAAACTCAGTCTCAAGGAGCACAGTAGCCCAACAAGCAGAGAAGCTGACAGCAGAAGGGCTAAAACCTGGTGAAAGGTTAGGTTTCATTTCTTACCGTAAACAGGTGTCAGGTTTTTATGATTACATCTTTTGTGGTTTTTGATGTGTTGATAATTTCCAGGTTTAAACGGATAAAGGAGCAAGAGGCTAGGTTAAGGCAGCAAAGAGAAGAAGAAGGAAGGAAAGCTGAAGAGGCAGCCAAGCTAGAATCTCAGACAATAAATGACAGTGACAAGAGCGAAGAACTCCAGTCAGAATCTAGTAGCAAATCTACGACTGTCGTAGTTGTTGCCAATGGCGGTGTTTCTAGACAAGACGTTAAGGAAGATCAGAACTCCACATCCATGGCTACTATGCAAAGAAATGATGTCGATGACGAGGTTGCCAGTATAAGCCAGCAGGTGCAAACTCAGGAAGAGGTAAATTCTCATTGGTTGTAAAACTCATCTCACTTTTTTCTTCAGTAACATATCAATTGTACAGATTCTCTAGTTTGAAATTCATCATTAATTCCCAAACATTTACATATTTCAAGAAATGGTTGAGACATACACCAAGGATGCCAAATGAAATGGAGAAGACCGAAGAGAGTAACTCGTCGTAAATGGAAGATAGAGATAGTGTTTTGATTATACAAGCCAGCAGGGTGGTACAGATGGTTGATATGGCACGAAAGCCAATTGTTTAGCATAACTCGATGCCGTAAAGAATCCCATTGGAGGTATTACAAAAACCACTGAAGTTTAACTTATTTTTCACGATGGCTACTTCGGTTTCCAGAGTTTAGTCATCCATAATAGATTAAGGTGCGGGATTTGGATTTTTGGCGTGCTTTTTTCTTCATAGTAATTTGTATTCTGTATAATATACATGAGCACTTGGGTTTCTTTTTTTCCTTTTTTCTTTTTAGATTCTGAATACCACAAATAAGGAATTACTATTGCAGCAGATGCTAAAGTTTCTCATTTCTTCTTTTCATGTGGGTTTGATGATAAGAATGAGGAGCTATAAGAGACTTTAGAACTCTATCTTGTAAGCTGGACAACCTTGCAGACTATTCAAGATCACCATAGTAGTTCATTTTCAGGTTGCTATAGGATGGATTACTGTGCGAAGTCGTTACTACGAGTAATGACTTCCTCTTTCATTACTTCATCTTTTCCCGCCCCTATCCCTATCCTCAGAAGTTCTCGATCACTTAGCTCTTCTGTGTTTTCTTGAAGTGTAAAATTTGATCGAGCTTTGGAAGATACAGATCGATCGAACAAATCATCGAAGTACTAATGATCTTTTCAAAGTCCATGTAACTTTTTGTGCATTCTATCAAACAATTGGTAGCCTTCATCTGTGGTATATAGTAAATATTTACATATCATTGTAATTTTAAAATCTCTTTTAGCCACACATGTACGTCCAATCTTTATTTTCTTATATTTTTCGTATTTTACCACTATTCATAAATAGATAAAAGTTTTTATTTTTAGAGATATAAATGTTGAATGATGAAAAGTTCAAATCAGTGCAATGTTGTAATTATTTTGAATTTTTTACCTTTTTATTTATATTTTTCATAAACAAACTAGATTAGTACAAATATGGGTTTTTTAATGTAAAGCCCACAACCCAATAACATAGTGGGCTAAGCCTTCGTCAAAGCCCAAGTAAGCTACAAATGCTCACTAGGCATTCCTCTTTGTCTTTGGCCCAAAAACCACAAATGGCCCACGAAGAGAAGAAAGAACTCTAGTATAATTAATTATTATGTTATTTTTAGCTATATTTTTTAGTTTCTAAATTATATTATTCTTGTAAGAACCCAACAAATAAAAGTATTTTAATTTACAATTTTATTTGAACTTTAAAATAAAACATAAACAATTTTCGTGAACCCCAAGAAATTAAAACAAACTGTGCGATTGCATGGAGAGAGAGAGAGAGAGGGAGAGAGAGCCACGTGACAATAATGGAAGTTGGACTTTTGAGCAGAAGTCGATAAGGTGGGAAAGTAAAGTTTTATAAATAAAAAGACAAAAACTTTTTAAAGATTTCTCTATTTTTGTTATTTCTCACATCTTACACAAGCACATGATCCAATCATTAACACATCCTTATATTTTTATTAAAATAAAAAAATTGGAATTCTTCGATTAATTGGGTCCTGGTCATTAATGCAATTTTTAACAATTGGTTTATAAATTTTTAATTGCTAACTTGTGGAGTAGAGGTAAATTAACCCCATGCTTTCAGTGTGATTTACAATATTGTCTTGTTAATCAGTAGTTTTTTTTTTAATACATGTTGATTGTTGGTAACTTTTAAATAAGCTATAAAAAAACCTTTTAAAAGAAGTACCCATATAATAAAACCAATTTTCTTCGTACATAATTTGGATTCATCTTAAATTTATTAATTACATTGTTGAATTTTTGCCCAAACTTAAAATTATTATGTGCGCGATCATGTATATACTTTTCCAAAGAAATTGAAACTAAATCTTTATGACAAATAAATATACTTAGAGGACTCAAGCTTTAAAATATCATTATTTATACTTTGACAATGAAAATACGTTAAAGCTTACAAAAAGATATTTTTCTTTAACTACAAAGCTATATTAACTTAATTTATTTTCAAAATGTTATTTTTAACAAGTTGAACATTATTATTATTTTCAAAAATTTTAAATTACGGAAGTTGCAAATAAGTTAACTCAAGCAAAAAATGAATATTAACTGATAATACAAGTCAAAATTAGAAGAATATACCATGAATATCAAAAGTAGTTACATTGATAATTAAAAGTGGACGTTACTTAATAATATATATGATAAAACAATACCATGCATTATAATTTACGTAAAATATTTATATTGGAATTTGAGTTTAATAAATAAATTAAAAACCACGCATACGTTCAAATTTATGATTGATAAGTCGTAATGATGATCATGAGTGACGACTAATCTTAGCTTTGTGTTAATAAAAACATCATTTAGTGGCAACAAGGTCCACCAGTTTGGGGTTGACATTATGAATTAAATTATTAGTGATAATAATTAATAGTGTAGATTAGACTATTTTAAAGGGGAAGTGAGGAAAAAACAATGGAGACGAAATTCATTACATGTGGTACAATTTTATGAACACATGTCACTGATATTTCTAAAAAAAAAAAAACATAAATACTAAATTAAGTTAAATAAGTTATGAATTCTTGTCATTAGTTATTTATATTCCATACTTTATCAATATTTTAAATGCTTCTCAACATTTTTTATTTCATCAATATTTTCTAATAGAATTTAGGGAATTAATTTTTTATTACTTTCTTGTATCCATGTAAATTCTTTAATGTATAATATTGACAAAAATATTTGCATATAAGATTAAGAAAAAAATTATCCTATGCTTTTTAAGTTGCAATTTAAAGTAGATGGGATGAAGATAATGATGATAAGCCCCATCATCTATAATTGATTTAATTGGATCACATGGCCTCTCTTTCTATTCTCATGTGAATGTTGGAAATATTTTTTTTTTTCAACTCTCTCTCTCACAAAGTTACAAATTTATCTCTTTTGATACCAAATTAACACACTTTAATAATTAATGTTAATGGTTTTACTTTGGCTAAATGATTGAGCCCAATTATTGAAACTACTTTCTTCAATTTATTTCTTAATTTTAGACACATTTAGCTTAATGTAAATTTATTCTAGCAATTATTTATTTGGTTAAATTAAAAATTTATTCTCTTATGGTTTGCAAACGGTTTAAATTTAGTTTTAAAAGTTTCAATTTAATCTATATGATTTGAACTTAACTTGAATTGGGTCCTTATAGTTTGGATTTAATTTAAATTTACACCCTAAGGTTTTAAAAGGTTCAATTTGGTCCCTATGATTTAGTCAAATTTCACAAATTATCTTTTGTTATTATCATAATGATAAAAAAAATAATTACGTAATTGGATTTAGAAACAAAAAATATAAGAAAATATGTGAATTTTTCAAGTGGGTAAAACAAAATTTAGGGACGAATGGTGAGATTTAACCATACTATGGTACTAGATTGAAACTAACCATAAATTATAGATATCAAATTGAAGCTAATCTTCAACCATGAGAATTCAACAGCTTTTAAAAATCATAGAGAAACAAATTTATAACCTATTTCTTTTTTATGAACTTTTAAAAAATTGGCAAAGGAAGAATTTAATTGTTTGATAATTCTGTTTAAACAAACCGTGTATATATATATAAAAAAAATGTACTTCAAACATTTTTTTTCTTTTTTTAAGTTTAGCAAGCCAATTAAGACCATTTGTATAAGCATTGAGGCATGTGAACCAAAATTGAGTGTTTCCTACCTTCTAGATGCATGTGGAGGGGAGTCAACATTATTTTCTGGTTAGACTTAATTTATTTTTTACAAAAAAATATATATATATATAAATTTTTGTAGTAGACTGAAAACTAGCTTAGAAAACATAATTTTGTTTAATGAAATTATCTTTTAAATTAAAGTTAGATTTTTTTAGTAAATCATGACAACTTCAATCATATAAAATCAACCATACGGTTTTATGAGTAATATAAAAAAAAAAATTCAATCATTTTTAGAGAATAGAGATTGTTTGAATAATATACTATTTTTTCAAACTTGTTATAATTTTTGTTATAATTTTTATAGAAAGGTAACATAGTCGTAATTGATTAGGGCAATCTGGGGTGCCCTACAGCTACTAGAGGCAGAGGCCACAATAATGAGCAACCCTCCAGCCCCATCCACCTCCTTATTCCACCATTTCTTATTTATTTTATAAATTAATAAGATTTTCTTCCCCACCATTTTCTCTTTCCCATAATTAAAACCACATATTCATTACAATTTTAATAAATAAAAAAAAATCCATTTTACATAATAGAAGAGTATAAGGTGAGTCCTGTACGTTTAGAAGGAATTAAGGATTTTTTTTATTTAATATTGTGAATATTTTGAAAAAGAAAATGGTAGTTTAAAGTATATATTAAGAAGGTTTAGATTGTATAATTGTCCATGGCGTCGTCGGTGGGAATTATAAAAAATAAAAATAATAAAAATGGAGTTTGATAATAAAATAATGTGAGTTGAATGTTTGTGGAATAATAAGGTGGAGTCTGAAAACGGGGATGGAATAATGTAAATCGTAGTTGGGATAAGCGAATTCCCGGAAGGCAAGCAGCAGATTAAGGGCTAATCATGCACGCAATTTTGTTCGTGGTACGAAACTATAATAAAAGGTACACTTAATAGTTAATTAATAATGTAGTATCGTTATCCACCTCCGGGGTTATGATAATCCAGAAGTTGTGGTGTTTGGTTTGGGTGGGAGTGATGAGATCCGACGGCTGATGTAAGAATTCAAAGGTCAAAGAATCGGAGGGCTGAGATCTAACTGAGCCGGCGGGGTAGTCTGAACTGAACATGACCCACATGGGAGAACGTGGCTTTCAAACAAAAAACATGACCACGTCAGCTTCTTGACGGATGGTACGAACCTCCCATGTGGCATTTCATGTTTTATATTACTTTTTCCTTTTTCGGCTAATTTACTTTTAACTCCCCAAAATTCCATTTCTTTCCATAGAAACTACGCGCAGAAGCTTGAGATCAAATCAAGATTTTTAAAATATATTTGCATAATACAAAGGGAAAAGATTATAGTTTATATTTATAAGTTCATCTTCTAAACATATATGATGGATATCACATCAAAAGATGCATTATAGGATGAAATTAAAAGACAAGAAGAAAAAAGAGAGAGAGAGATGATTTATGCTCTGAATTTTGTAGAGGAGGGTGACGCCGACATCCATTTTTGAAATTTGGAAAGCGTCGGCAAAATTGCTGTATGATTTTTGCATGGCCTTTTGAATGAAATGAAAGAGGTGAAAAATAGAATAAAACGGTTAAGTTAATTACTTGAAACGTGTTATGTTATGTATTTAATTTATGAAATTTTATAAGTTTAAATTATATTTTATAGTCTATTCACCTCATTGTTATAGGCTATAGCACGTTGTTTTGTCTATAATAAAAGATTATTTATATTAATTAACCATGGTAATTTAAAATTTAGACGATGGATTATGTATACTTAAAATGACTTCCCTACAAAACTCAGTTAATTTAACGGCCAACTACTTCGCACCCAACTGAAATCATAGACATATCAACGCGACCTTAGATTTTGCTTTTAAAAAAATCATCTTTTCCATTTTTTTTTCTTTTAAACAAAACAAAACTCCAATTTGCGAGCCTTTATAAACCTTGTCTTCTCCTACACAAACTCAAAATCCTCTGCTTTTCTCCTACACACAAATTAAGAGAGACAGTAGCCATGGAAATTAATCCCATCTTCGTCCTTCTGATAATCTTTGCCACTCTTCTTCTCCAAATGAGCTCCATTTCATCCTCTCCCGTGGCCGACCCCGAGACGATCGTTGAAGAAGTTCTCACGTAATTATTTAATTTCTTCTTTTTTCTTGATCTTTCTTGGGACTATTAATTAAAGTTGGGTTTGGGTTGAAAATAAAAACAAATATTGTCGTGGTTTGCAGGAGCATCAACAATGCGAGTAGAAGGAAGTTGGGGTTTCTGTCGTGTGGAACCGGGAACCCAATCGACGACTGCTGGCGGTGCGACCCCAACTGGGAGAAGAACCGGAAGCGGCTCGCGGACTGCGGCATTGGGTTCGGAAAGCGAGCCATTGGCGGCAAAGACGGAAAGTTTTACGTGGTGACTGACCCAAGCGACAAAGACGTGGTGAACCCGAAGCCGGGGACTCTACGCCACGCCGTGATCCAAAAGGAGCCGCTGTGGATAACCTTCAAGCGGGACATGGTGATAAAACTGAAGGCGGAGCTGTTGATGAACTCGTTCAAGACCATCGACGGGCGTGGGGCGTCGGTGCACATCGCGGGTGGGCCCTGCATAACCATACAATTCGTGACCAACATAATAATCCACGGCATCAACATCCACGACTGCAAGCAGGGGGGGAACACGTACGTCCGCGATTCGCCGGACCACTACGGCTGGAGAACTCTATCGGACGGCGACGGGGTTTCCATTTTTGGCGGCACCCATATTTGGATCGACCATTGTTCTCTGTCCAACTGCCGCGATGGGCTGATCGATGCCATTCATGGGTCCACTGCCATCACCATTTCTAACAATTACATGACCCACCACAACAAGGTCATGCTTTTGGGCCATAGCGATTCCTACACTCAAGACAAGAATATGCAAGTTACTATAGCTTTTAACCATTTTGGTGAAGGACTCGTACAGAGAATGCCCAGGTAACTGCACGATATCTATATATTAATTAAATTTACTAGTATTAAAATTTTGGGTTGATTTTGATTATGGGTGTTGTTTTTTGGCAGATGCCGACATGGGTATTTTCATGTGGTCAATAATGACTATACCCATTGGATAATGTACGCCATTGGTGGCAGTGCATCTCCCACCATCAACAGCCAAGGGAACCGTTACCTTGCTCCCAATGACCAAAACAACAAAGAGGTGAGAATTATAATTGGTAATAAATTTCCTTTTATTAAAAATTGAGTTTAATAGTAATTTAACATGTTATTTAATTAATTGCGGTGGCAGGTGACGAAGCATGAGGATGCACCGCAGAGCCAATGGAAGAATTGGAATTGGAGATCGAGTGGAGATTTAATGTTGAATGGTGCGTTCTTCACGATGTCGGGTGCTGGAGCATCGTCAAGCTACGCCAGGGCGTCGAGCTTGAGTGCGAAGTCGTCGTCTCTGGTGGGCTCCATGACGGCCACGGCCGGGGTGCTGAGATGTAGAAAAGGCTCTCGGTGCTAGCTCAGCAGCGAGTGGACCAGAACGACAGCGTATTGGAGATAAGCAAGGAGAGATATAGGGGTGGTTTCGTCTTCTTGTATAGTAATTTTTACTTTGTGTTTCTTAATTGGTCACAACTGGAAAGCTCTCTGTTTTTTTTTTTTTTAAGAAAAGTTGTGTTTTCAGAGTGAGTGACCCACCATTTGTAATTCTGTCTTACAATATTATATAAATATTACTAAGTGAAAAAGAAGAAAAAAAATTCACTGATTGGGGCATTTATTATCTCTATGAAACAGGAAATCCTTCAATGATTCCCAATAATTATAAGATGAGGCCAGAATTTGAGTTAATTATGAACATTTTGATCAATCATGTAATTATGTGGTACCAAATAAAGTACATGAAAGGGACATATCCGCGAGGGAAAGAATAAAGAGAGAGAGAGAGAGAGAGAGATAAACTTCATTATTATCAATATACTTTAGCTAAAAGCGGCTTAATTTTAATTTGATCAAACTAAAACTTATAAAATTGAGCAAATGGTATGATTAATATATTCTTCAAAACCAAATTATCAAACAATCTAAAAGTTAACCAAAGGCAACTAACTAATCTAACAACAATAAATAACGAAATAAAGTTTCCATTCTGATTGTTTTTATTTTGATTTTTTATCATCCTAATTTCTTATAAGTAAATGGGATTTAGAACCAGAGAAAAGGAATAGAGGAGTGTGAGTGAGTGTGAGACATGATAAATAGAGATAGATGTTGTTCCCTGTCAGAGAAGAGAGAGACAACAAAAAGTAAACACACATTCGATGGTGGACTTTTGAGGCAATGCCCCATAAATCACACTGCTACTTGCTGTGTTGGTCACACCCTCATTTATTACTATTATATACTATTTTTTTCATCTTCCTTCAAACCTATTTAATGATTTCATAAGTAATGAACTTCTTTAAAAACTTTTACTCTATGTTAAATTTTAATTATATTCAACTTTTGAAGTTGAAATGAAATAAATACATCTCTGAAAATCCAGACTGTTGTTTTGTGTAATGCCCAAAATACAGAACCATACAAATGTTCACTAATCTCCCTAATTTTTTAAAAAGAAAAGAAAATGGTAAAAATAATTTAGGAGATTAGGAGAGAGAATGGAAAAGAATACGGCTGAGCYGAGAGGAGCGGAGTCCACAAACACAGGCAAAGGCATGTTCAAATCATTTGTTTGTAGTAAATCCGAGAACTTTCCAATGGCCCATTTTTCCAAAATTTATTCTTCTAATTCAAAATACAATATAAAATAAACACCAAATGAACACAATTTATAAGGTCCCACTGGTTGTCTTCCTCGGTGCATTTATTCCCGCCTCTCATATTTTATCATTTATTTTTTAGATCCAAATTTGAAAAATAAATTATTAATAAAATTTAAATAAATGAACATGGATCCAAATCCTATCATCGAGATTCTCTAATTGAAGCTAAATGACGGAAGAAAAATTGATTCTTTATAATATTCCTCCATCCATTGACGATATATATCAGAATTCCAGAAAAATGAAGATACACCAAATTAAAAGACATGAAGAAAGCATATATCGAGCTTATCCCTTACATTCACACAAACGATAATCCATCATCCCAAAAACCATACACTCGGAAAATTTCAATAATGCCAGCAAAATTCTAAGGTACCTCCTCCCTACTTTTACTAACAGTAAAAATAAAAAAGTCTATCACGTCACTGTCCCATAGCCATGGCCCTCAAGTGAGGCAGTAAAAAAACACGATTTGATCAATAGTCAGAAGGAGATATGACATCATCAATCTTCAGAATCAGCTTCACAACCTGAGTTGCCAATAAAATCTGCTGCTGCTTACCAATCAAAGTTTCGAACACATTTTGCTCCCTCATGTCATTTGTGCCGACATCATTACAATCTATTCCACAATAGGGATTATTCTCCTGCATATTTAATCCAAATCAATAATATTGAATCCTTCATGTAAAATCACGCATTAAATCTGTACATCGAGGTTAGCAATTTGAGATGGCTGGCTATTAGTTCCACCTACCTTAATTTGCTGAGACTTTACGGCAGAAAGTGTTTCAATTGGTTGCAAGCCACTGTTCTCCGCAAGAGCCATTGGAATAGAATCCAAAGCATCGGCAAATGCCCTGATAGCATACTGCAGAAGAGGGGGGGAAGGTTCAGCATCGTTTGCTCATTCAGAAAGAAGGCTACGGATAATTAAAAATATTCATACCTGCTCAACTCCAGGGTATTTATCAGCAGCTGCCTCAACAGCAACTGAACAAGAAATCTCAGCTGAGCCACCGCCATATACTATAGAATTATTGCGGATGAGATTCCTAGCCACACATAAAGCATCGTGGATACTACGTTTCGTCTCCTCTATCATCATTTTGTTACCTACAATCATAACATGATAAAAATCATAAGTTTGTCATCATCATCCAAGATCTCGAATCAACCTTTTATCTTGTGTTCTTTCATTTCCATCTAAAAAAAATYGACTAATTCATATTTCAAAATTTCACTTCTGAGGCAGGTTTACAATCAACCATCTAGTATCTCTAGGTTCAGTGCAGAAAATTATGTTTGAAACTGGATACTTCTACGCATTGCTAAAACCATGCAGTCATGAACTCAGTTCACTTATGGCCATGCTGTTTTTAACTTTGCACCACTGCACTGATAATGTTTAACTACTAAATCAACTCGACTTTAACATTATTTTTCCAACCACCTGATATTCTATTGCCTAATCTATCAATGAGCAAAAAACTGCTAAAATAAATAACTTGAAAAATGAAAAGAACAAGAAAGGATCTACCTACCTCCACGAATAAAAATGGTCACAGCCCTTGAGTTTGCACAATGTTCAATGTATAGCATCCGATCTTTGGTTGTACCAAATGCTTTTTCTCGAACCAAGCCAGCCTTTAAATTAGGAGAAAAGAACAGGAGATATGACCGTGAGATAGAGCTTGATATACACATGAAGTGAAAGAATGAGCTCACATGAATCAAATTGTTAGTAGTTCAGAAAAAAACATAAGCTTAAAGTTAASAGTACTTCACTACTTCACCAAGCCCCCCCAACAGGTTCACAAGAGGATAACTTTGCTGGTATTTTRACTCACAAGACCTAGTTAAATGTTCTTTTCCGTCCAGATCCCAGTCTATCAAGTATCAACCATGAAGCATATATTGTTCTATACTGAACAAGAAAAGCATACATGCAAAATTGCAGGCAGGAACGAAATCCCAGATTAAAAATTTTTTGGAAGGCTGAAAATAAAAATTAAACTAAAGATAATGAACAGGGATCTGCAATACCTTCCCAAGTTTCTCTGATGTCAACTCTTGGAACCTAGGGACTATTCTTCCACCTACAAAGTTAATAATACTACCATTTAGACAATGAAGTAAACTAGAGTATGACATTACCCAAGGTAAATAAAAATCAATAAATTGGATATCAGAATAGAACCAAAATTAGTCTAATTCAGTTTCTTGAGCTAAGCAATTAAGATTAAAAACAAAGATTAAACTTCAATTAGTTCTTAGTTGAATTACAAATCAAAATAGCTGTCTTTGCTTCAGCGGGATCCCCTTGTTAACTTCAATTAGTTCTTAGTTCAATTACAAATCAAAATAATTGTCTTTGATTCAGCCTGGTCCCCTTGTTCTCCCTTTACTCACCCACACCCCCGCCCCACCCACCCTTCTTGCTGCCTCTTATAAGGCCCTAAACAGTCACTAGTTTTGAGAATTAAAAAATTAGTCATGATTAAGTGTCACTTGACTTRTGACAATCAGTAGTCAAAATACTCGTAATCTTCAGTAGTAACAGAACTCATGACAAAACTAAATAGCCCACGAAGGCAACACAAAGAGGGGTTTGAACCCCTGGCTGCTAGGTTGAATCTAAGAGTTTCCACAACTGAGCCCAACCCCATGGGCCACCAACAAGATTAATCTAAATGCTGATAAAATAATTGAGGTAAACCTGTGGCTATCGCTATCAACTCTAGCTCCACACCACCAACCCATCTCACAGCTGGCAGATTTCGGTGCATCAGCAGATGATTTGCTTCATCATCAAACCCCCATTGACAAATAACCAATGTAGCGCCAACGTCCTGCAATAAAACATGTATCAACAGCCTAAAAATAAATCTTCATGAGAGAGGGAAAAAACTTCCATTAATAACGATTTAAATACAGAAAAGACACCACACAGAAACAAGCCAATGGAACAGAGCCAAAACCATACAAAAGGAAATTATAAAAAGAACCATACTAGTATCCCTCAAGAGAGAAGCATAGAGTTTAAAGGATTCATTGAAGGGTAGCATTCCACACCTCTTCCCATGAAACCTCTCCATTCTCTAATAACCTCTCCCTTGAGCCAAAAAGACCACGAAATAGATGGTAGGCATTATTAAAAAACAGATATTATCTACCTTCCTCTCTCTACAAAATAAATAACCTTACTATATTTTCCATTATACCTTGCATTTTTGAACCATGTCATCAAAGTACTTTTGTTCCTGCAGTCTCAACGTTTGGAACTTCTCCACTGTATCAATATCGACCTTATGCTTTGTCTTGGGTTTAGGTGGCTCAAACGGGCAAGTCAAGATGGCAATCTTAGCATCTTCAATCTGCTTCGGCATCTGAGGGTGACTCATGTCCTTGTCAACAATAATACCATATACAAGTTCAGTATCTTCTAACTTCCCCCCTACTTTTCCTTCCACTTTAATCAAGTCTAAGTTAACATCCCTTCTATCAAGATCTGCCACAGCAACAACTGCTTTAACAGCAATTTCCGCTAGATTGCGCTTACAACGATTCACACTGCAAGTTCAGAAAAAGGGCTATAAAAGGTATCCAAGTACTAATACATCATAATAAATAATCATCATCACTYTTTCGACTTCCAAAATAAATCATATAATCACTTTACTGTCATTTTACACGAACAACTCAGTTGCTAAAATTTTTTATGTTCCTAGTCTGATGTAACATTCAAGATGAGAAAACAACCAAATTAGGACGAAACCAACAATTTTCATCTGTTCATTGTCCTTTGTAAGTGAAAGGCAAGCACCTTAAACGCCAGAACATATGTTCATGGCGACAAAAATGTGCAAATAAGGTTCTCGCGTGGGATAGCACTCAGGCAATGGGCATGCGCCATTGCCCCTTGCCATAGGCAATCGCCTTGGCATGCCTTGAAAATACTAGGTAGACATAACCAAACCGATAGAYTTAGCAATCAATAAAATTGTATATAATAACTAAATTAATGGCACTATAATAGCTCATGTGAGAGTGTCACTAACATACCAGGTAATGTTGCTTTTATTAACTTTTATCAAACAAATGTGACAATATCATGCAACCTTTAATATATACACACGTCAACAAATTTAATTCAACCAACATAATAAAAAAAATCAATGGACAATGATTCAATTATGATACAGTATATTGGGCATAAAAATTCATGTCACCATACATCTTTGATGATAAAGTGGTCATGCAAGTTTGAACCAAAGGCTCAAAGTTTCTGTCACCAAAATCAAACTTCTGAGCAATATGCTCTAGGTGATCAACAGCTATCCGGGAGGCCAGTTCATAACCCTCTGCAATTCGAATAGGATGAATTCCACGTTCTAATAATCGCTCAGCCTGTTCTAAGAGTGCACCAGCCATTACAACCACCCCAGTGGTGCCATCACCAATTTCATAATCCTGACTTCGAGATAACTCAACCATCAATTTTGCAATTTGATTGTCAACATCCATYTGCTCCAAGATTGTTGCACCATCATTTGCTGAAAAAGGGATAACAAGTAGAGTTTACTGGAAAATTCGTCACCCATAGGAAATAATCAAACGTCCAAGAAATACTAACTTGAACCTACAACACTACCAAAGTTTTCTAATAAACACGACATACCAAATATCATATACATTTGAAGAAAATGTAGTTGATTACAAGGTATCTGTACCTTGTTTTTACTTGCATCGTTAGAGGACCAATTTTCGAAGGCAATAGATATTCAAGATCTAAAAAAAAGGCTAAAGTTAAACCGCAAGCTCAATACTAACTATTAGTTTTGTTAGTTTYTAAACTTCGAAATAAATGAGACCGTAGATCAAGGGAAAAACGTAGAAGCAAATATAAATTTATACAAGATATTTTGAGGCCTAAACTAGAGTTTGTATATGAAGTTCATTGCCATTGGAATCTCGACGTCAGATTTAAGCCTATTATTATTCACATATGAATATGAAAATTGTAAAAAAGAATACAAGAGGAAGGGGCAGTCTACGGTTGAACCCACAACACCACCTTGACTAAGAAAAATGATACCCGAGCTCCTGCCCTGAGATGAAACACAACTTGTCATTAAATCTATCCAAAACCTTTGCAACCTTTTTTGTTCTATSGAGGAAGAACATTATGCATTTGAAGTATCAAAGCGAATTAAGCACTGTAGTGCCATCACGAGGCAGTGACCAACACCGCAGCATTTCACGAGTGAAAACGTTCCACCAGCAATGATTTTACATAGTCTAACTAATTTCTTTGTCTTAGAACTTACATTTACTATCGACAATATCTCAGCTAACTTCATGATTGTTTGTCTACAATCGTTCAGATTCAGAAATGAAACATCACAAAGTTACAGACCAGCAAAAGCGAGCAAAGAAACCAATAGGAGATCAATGAAATTTAAAAACAAAAACACGAGTATAGCAGCATGTCCACTTTCGAGACCACCTGTAGTCGTTTAATATGCACTGTCCAGATTCAAACAAGGGACACGCTCGGGGTTCTAAAATTCCATTGAAGAAAGCTAAAAGACTAAGAGAAACAAGAACAAGGAGTGAGTGAGACTGACTTATTGTAACGTCACCATCGGGGCTCTGGAGCATCTTGTCCATGCCCTTAGGACCAAGCGAGGTCCTGAGGATACGAGCGACAGCTCTGCCGGAAGCAATGCTCGCCTTCTGAGCATCGAGACCCCTCAACCTGGTCTTCTGCTCCTGCTCCTTCAAGATTATAAAAGGCCTCCCAAACTCATCGAAAGCGAGCGCCATGACAACGCCGAGATCAGCTTCAACCTACGGTGAAGGAGTTCCAGATCGTGTACCTTTGAAATGGATCTCCGACCGTGAAGCAGCAAAAAAGAAGAGAGAAATCGCAGAAGCTCCTGGAAATGGAACTAGTGGAGGGAGAGTRGTGGGAGGGGTTTTAGAGTTTCCCTGCTTTCGGAAAGCCCTAACTACTCAATACGTCTTCCCCCTTGTGGGCTTCCATTTCATTTTGGGTTATGCAAAATTGGGCCTCGTAATGGAGCTCCTCTACATTTTGGAATTTGGCTACTCTCATTTCATTAGATCTAACGATTTATGTAGGCTATGTTATCAATCATTTTATCTTGTTAGTTTTTTT